AAGCTAAAGAGCTCGCAAGCTTTTATGTTCAAAGTAAATTTTTTCCTTCGTTTCTAAATTGAAATAAATCTAGGTTTAACGAAGACGACATTTATACTGGGGGCAGTATAAGCTTCTATTGTGCTAGAAAAATTAAATTAATTTTGTTTATTTTTTCATCGAAAGCTTTGTCTTTTAATATTCATTTTGGGTTCTTAAATCTTTAAACTTCTTTTTTAACACATTTTTAAAAATCTTTATTTCTGTTATAAATCAAAACACATANTTTTAAACAAAATATATCATAGGAGTACATCAGTGTAATGTATACTTTGAGTAACATTAAACATAAGAAATATTAAACTGTTAGACCATGATTACATTTAAAAGTTAAAAACAGGACAAACATTTGAAAAGCTGATAGATTTTGAAAGCTATGATTTTCATGATCGTTACATTGTCTCATGTTTAACGAGACTCTCTGTAAATAGATAACACAAAGCGTGGGTGTTCATAAACGGTTAAACTACTTCTGTATCGGAGTGATAATTCAATAATTCATTAATCCCGACCTCAATATTAAAAAAGGTTCATGATCATTTCTTGGGCCAAAAAGTAACAATCAATGTCAGCTTTTGGTACAAATTATAGTTCGGAACTAATTCTCCCTGTTCTACAATGTTTATATAACAGGAAGGACTCTCTCTGGATTTTTGAACTTGATGCAATTCATTGTTGACTAAAACCATCCTTATTTCACAGTGAAACCTCAATCGAAAACAACTATTTTTCAAAGAGAAGATTATGGATATCTTAGGCATTCTAGATCAGACAAAGCTTTTAAGGGTACCGTTGTGAATTGGATAAGCCTCTCCATAATTAAAAAGTAACTTAAATCTAATTGTTTGTAATCATATTTCAAAAAAAAAGACTATTATTTTTCTGAATGTGTTATCTTGAGTATAAAGTTAAATAAGGGTTTCCTTGATTAATTCTTCATTGTAGAACTGCTGGTCCGAGGGTGTTCCACCCTGACCATAGCTGGTAGAATCACCATTGAATTCTCCTAGGCAAAATAAATTGTGAAATAATCCCGAGATTATCATTGTTTTATGCAACTAAATATTTTGAAAAGTATAGATATACAGGGTGTTCCAAAAACATGGGAATTCAGTGACAAATTCGATATCGTCTTTGTTATGAATCAGCATTGTAATACCTAATTTCAAAAGCCATAATAGTATTATTTCTGCAAGAGTTTATTTTATGAAAAGGGTAAAAGACTGTAAAGATGTGTCTATAATGTCTCCGCAAGATGAACAGTGACCGGATAAAGAATTAGAGGTTGCAACGATGTAATGATAGGAAAATTAGAGTATGAGACCATGAACAGTTTCTTCGATGAACTGAAAGCAGCGAAACCAATACTTTCTAGCCATTTTACCCCCAACAAAAGTAGATGTATTACACAATATATTATTATTTATGTGAAGCTATAATCTTTGATTTTTAAAGTGGGTAATAAGGTTTAATATCTACAGATATTGTCTTCAGGAGACTACTCAGGACTTTAGAGAGTATATCCAAACAGAGGTTCTCTTTGATTATAATATATAGTCCTTTGATTATAATATATAGTCCTTTGATTATAATATATAGTCCTTGAATTTAGAATATAATGGACTACAATGTTTAGTTTGCCGCTATTAATCACCTGTAAGAATATCTGCAATATGATTATCAGTGCAAAAAGTTTGCCAATCCAGTCCAACTTTGCAGATTCCAAGTTGACCCACATAAAAGTTGGTTATTTCTCTTCCAGGGGGAGAACCTTTCACTAATCTAAATTAGATATAAAGTCAAAGTTACATAATATTAGGGTAAATTGGACTGTAAGCGTAATTCTAAAATTTTAATATGCAAAGATGACATTTTCAAGGGTACCGTTGTAAATCGGGCATTGCTATCCTTGCATGAACGGGTCACTTGAAATAACACTTTCAGTCCCTTTAATATTGCCTTTGGGGGTTAAATGGCTGTTGCTGCACACAGGAAATGTTAAAGATATGAATAAAACTAAAAAGTTATATTTATTAAAATGACAAAATTATTGCAAATGTAACATTTGTGCAAAGTGTAATTTGTAAAAGTCTAGTAAGTGTATTTTGTCCCAATGCAATTACATGACAAAAGAGGTGTATGCGTCTTTTGTACTGCAGTGTACTGTCTCTGTGCGGTAATATATAAACACAAGAATATTGAAAGCACAAAAAAGGCAGACCACATTTTGAAAATTCCAAGACTAGGAGAATTTTGTGATTATTAACTTAATAATTTTACTTACAAAATTAGGTTTACGAATAAATTCCGCGAATTATTTCAAAGATAAAAGACCGCATTCAATGCGTCTGACTACTGTCATGCTTCGTGGGAAGCTACCTACAACTAAGTCTTCCGTACCTGGATTTTAAATACTTTTTAATTAATAAACTAGTTTGTTACAATGCAATAAATTATGACGATTACTGGTTTTAAAGCAGCGAAACCAATACTTTCTAGCCATTTTACCCCCAACAAAAGTAGATGTATTACACATTTATTATTATTTATGAGAAGCTATAATCTTTGATTTTTAGAGTGGGTAATAAGGTTTAATATCTACAGATGGATGAATTTGAATGGCAGAAACACTTTTTATAACGATACAGCCCAGGTCCCGTACATTTTTGGATAGTATGCAAGTAGTAATCAGAAAACTCAATATTCATTGTGGGGACTTATAGATTTGAGAATAAATGTGTATTAAAGTTATCACTGCAGGGCATTACCACCATGGAATATCGAATGCATAGTTTTGCATAAGATTGAGATCAATGATTGATGCTGAAATTCTGATTTCTGATTTCAGAACATTTCAGAATCATATCATCGGAAAAAAGGTTATGAGAGAAGACGACATTTATTTCAGAGAGTTCTGAATTATATCCGAAGTAACTTTGAAGTTTTGTATGGACAATTACAATAAATCAATTAATCATGCATCTAATCGATAAAAAGTCAAAACATTACAGACCAAATATACAACAAAAAATGTCATGCTTTTGTACGTACTACATTACAATTATGTTTTTGGAGATATTCTTTTTTTTTAATCCAAAACAATGACCGAGTTCTAAAGAAAATTGAAAATAAGACTTAAACTAGAAAAGAGAATGTCAAGGTTAGAAATGAAGTTATGAGGTACTAAATTTATTTTAATTCGCCGAATTTCTAAAAAAAAAAAGTGATAAACAATTTCAGGGAGGAAAATAAACATCCCCAAAAATTGCAGGAAAATTGCTGTCCCTCAGCCTTTTTAAAATTTCTAAACATTCCCTTTATTTCAACCAGAAAACGTTAATTGTCAAATATATGTGTGTATCACTGTAGCACCAGTCAGATATGAGAGTGTATCCATTGTGTACAAGTACTGTACACGACCAATCAGCAAACATCTGTATTCAGGGATATTTAAGGATACGAAACACAAAATCTTCAAATAAAAGAATGAGTTCATAAATGTTATGTTTCATGTTTAAAATTGGACTTTTTCTTTAAAAGTTGTAAATGGGTAAATGGGTAATATATTCGACAAGTGGCCGTGAGATGGCACTCTAAAAACCTATCGTAAAAACGTAGGAAGTCGTGCCTGGTCAACTTAGGCCTACGTAGCCCACCCTGTGAAAGGAGATAAGCAGTCTGTGTAGTCTGTGGTCTGGCGGTGCAAGCAAAGGACTGGTGAGAATGCATCCACTCTCATCTATCTAATGCTACGCGATAAGTAAATATAACAGTATACAATAACAAATATCAATAAAACGCATGCTTTCTTGTCTGGACTAGAACTAGAACGGACAGATGTTGAACCTGATTTTATCTCTGTTGGTCTAATGACGATGGACACTGGCAACATTAGTCAGCATTATCTCTCTGTTTTAAACAAAATATATCATAGGATGCAAACAGTTAGTGCAACTAAGATCTATTGAAAATTATTTGCTTGAATAAAAAACTGAAAAAATCCCTTAACATGTGAAACTAAAATAAATTACACATACGATTGAAATCCTTTTAACGAAGAGCTGTTTTGAAAACAAAAGTGTTTTGAAGTTCTAATTTATTTCCTTTCCTCATACTTGTGTAAAAAATCAAAACTAGAGGAGATACGAGGTCCCAAAGTCGTGCTAATAATGTCGCATAAATTTTTTGTTTAGTTCAGTGTGGTAATTTTAATCCTACCTCCATTAAAAATGTCTATACGCACTCAAATCCCCAATTCAAAGTTAAATGGTTCATGATGACTTGAATCGGTGATTCAAGATTTGAACTAGTGTTAGGTAGTTTAGTGACCTCTCTTTCCAATTTATTTCATTCTGTGCAACTTAACGGAAAAGTCCGTTACCAAGCGGAAATTAATCCATTAAATGATCGAAAAAAACCAACTCGATTTTTCTGCAACATTTGGATAAAAAATAGTAATTGACGTCTATTGAAGTTTTCCTGTACACTTGCATTAAACTCTAATTCATAATCCCTACATCTTTGCAACCGGATAAAGAATTAGAGGTTGCAACGATGTAATGATAGGAAAATTAGAGTATGAGACCATGAACAGTTTCTTAAGCGCTGAAACAAGGGGGGGGGCAGTCAAAACCACAATATGTTTTATACTTAATCAATCAAACAAATAATTTCAGATAAATTGTGGTTTTGGCGGTACAACAAAATCCAAGGGGTTATTTATTATTTAAAAAATTGAAGATTTATTTGTTTAAAAATATAATTGTAAAGATGTGCTGATCGATTAATAAAAAAGCTTTAAAAAAAAGATTTTATAAAAAATAAAAAATTGGATGAAAATTGTCATCAAATATGACACATTAAAACAGTTGCCCTTAAAAAGTAAAAAAATTCTTATTTCAGAAAAAGCTACCATCCAATTAAAAAGAGTGATTCCAAAAATAAAAAAAATTTAAATCACAATTTAAAAATAAATCATGTTAGATTTTACCTGTCGCTACATTTTGTTCTTTAATTTGTTGAGCATAGGCCTACATGCAGTTAAGGAGCATGAATAGAAATATTATTGGAAATATTTTAAAATTTTCTTTATGTTTGAAAATAGTTTTATGTAAATACAACGTTAGAATTGGCAAAGTTTCAAATGAAATAAACTGCTCATTTTGTTTCCTTGGTCAAATACTTGGACACGTTAGGATTTCCACAAGGCTGGGGTCTGAAAACAAAATATTTTAATGTTATTATTTTGTTATTATTTAATAAAGATATGTGTATAACTATAGGATTTCAATAGAAAGAACAGGACTTTTCAAAGATTGAATTTTTTAGATCAAATATTTAAAATTTGAAATATTAAAGTTTATATTATCAGGGATAAAAACAAGTAGTTAGGCATGAAATCATTAGTTTAAGGTACTGTTGATTTAATTTCAAGTGACCCACAATTAATTACAACTCTATTTTTAGTTCTTTATGTTTGCTTAGATAAAGAAATTGAACAAAGAGTATCGCTTGAAATTTCGTTGACAATCCCTTTAAACAAACCAATCAGTATATACAGGGTGTCCCAATAAACATGGAAATTGAGAGACGACTTGAAAATCGTCTTTGATTTCCGATATTTGATTAAATTAAAAAAGGTGAATTACAAAAAGATTCTATGTCCTCTGAGCTCTTTAAAATATGGTTTGCCTTCTTTATATCTTTAAAATTGACGGAGATATCAAACATTTTAACTATTTTTTTTTGTAATTTTGAGTAAAATGCAATCTGGGCAGATTTCTCGAAAACTCCGTTCAAGGTTTCAAGGTTCATGGTAGACCTCATTTTGGAATTTCCGCAACTAGTTGTTTTAGATGCACGGAACAAAGACGATATTGAAGTCGACACTTAATTCCCATGTTTATTGGGACACCCTGTATATAACAAGTGTTCTTCTTCTCAAACCCTTTGTTTGTTGAAAAATAAGATACAGTAAAATCACAATTGTTTTAAAATTTTCTAAGTTTTTTACAAAAAACGTTTAAAAAACAAAAAATAACATGAAAAGTGTCTCCTACCCTTCCATGAGAGTAGTTGAATTGATTTCAGCTTGATCGGGCAGATTAACACGTTCAGAAGGACGTTCAAAATATGGGCCTTGTCTCTCCTGAATTATGCAATTATAAAGCAAAAAATTTTATTTTAATTGAAACCATTGTTTCTCTGTTTATACTATGAAGAAAACATATTTGTGGGTTTGTATGATAATATCGAAGGATAATATCGAAGGATAATATCGAGGATAATATCGAAGGATAATATCGAAGGATAATATCGAAGGATAATATCGAAGGATAATATCGAAGGATAATATCGAAGGATAATATCGAAGGAAAATATCGAAGGATTTCCAAATATTTTTGACCGGCCACAAACCTTTTCTGGGGTCGTCTGAATTACCATAGAAAAACAGATTTTCGTAAAATTTTGAAAATACACGAAAGAAAATTGTAAATCCGCAACATTTTTAACTAATGTTAGTGTTTTATCGAAGAGACAATTCTGAAAGATTACGCAACAATTAAAACTTGAAATAGAAGATGAGAGCAAAGCCTAGTATTTTTAGATTAGGATAATATTCCGAATTCCTCTTAGAACCTTCACAAAAATAAAGTATTTTTAATGCATAAAGTGCTGACTATGAGATTAAAAACAACATATAAAACTATTTGTAAAGGTCAATTCCTGAATAAATGTGATGAATTATTTCACTATTTTTCACTTGGATTAATGTTTTGTTTTTTGGTTAAATTTGGTGAAACATTTGTAATTTTAGTGAAAGTAAAATGTATAGAACCCCTCTGGCCTCTATTTTCTTTTCTTGAATAGAATTTTGTAGAATAAAATTCACCTTTGTATTGAGGTAATCTATCATTGGCTGATAATAACTTCCACCGTAGACTTGGTTGTAATCATACACCTTGGACTAAACAAACATGTACTGCAACATGTAAACAAACATGTACTGCAACATGTAAACAAACATGTAATGCAACATGTAAACAAACATGTACTACAACATGTAAATGAACATGTTGCAGTACATGTAAACAAACATGTACTGCAACATGTAAATGAACATGTACTGCAACATGTAAACAAACATGTACTGCAACATATAAACAAACATGTACTGCAAAATGTAAACAAACATATACTGCAACATGTAAACAAACATGTACTGCAGTATGTAAACAAAAATGTACTGCAACATTAGAATGAACATGTACTAAAACATGTAAAAAAACAAAAACTGCAACATGTAAGCAAACATGTACTGCAACAGGTAAACAAACATGTACTGCAACAGGTAAACAAATATGTACTGCAACATATAAAAAACATGTACTGCAACATGTAAACAAACATGTACTGCAACATGTAAACAAACATGTTATGCAACATGTAAACAAATATGTACTGCAACATGTAAACAAACAAGTACTGCAACTTGTAAAAAAAAATGTATTTAATGATGTACTGCAAAGTGTAAACAACATCAGGTTACAAAGGTATGAGGATTAGAGTACATTAGAGTATGAGGGAAACATAATCAGTTTCTTTAATTCCAAAGGCTTTCAAGTTTGACCTTCCGGGAAATCTAATTTGATTTTTAAAAACATAAATAAGTCAAGTATAAGTAAAGTATATTCTTTGAAAATACGCCATCAATAAGATGTCACGTACATATTTATATTTGTAATCATTAATCGTCAGCGGAAAATGAGCATGTAAAGATACATTAAACTTTTGTCACTTAGCAATAGCATTTTCAAAATTTGAATTCGACCTTAGTATTTAAAAAAACTTTAAGGAATATATCAGAAAGTTTTTGAAACTGATTAAAGAATAGATGCATGAAAATAATCTCAGTACAAGGAAACTCAAAACTATCCTCAAACTCTGATTAATTGTATTTCCTATATCTTTGAAACCTCTGATATTTTTAACCATGAACTTTTCATATTTTGGTCAAAGTTTGAAATATCAAAGATTTACACTAACAAGTTGCAAAGATATAGAAATTCTGAAATAAAAGGAGAAAGTTCAGTTCTTTTAAAACAATAAAGTCACTTAAAGGAATTGTAAACATGATTTTAAGTGACCCTTCAGGCAAGGATAACAAGGCCCGATTCCAAACGGTAGCCTTGAAACCTTTATCTGATCAATAATGTGGAAGATAACGTCGTTTTTCTCACTCGTAAAGTGTTTATTTCTGGGAATTTCTCCATTTCTTCTTACAAACAAGAAATGCGCAAGTCATTTTTGCAGAGAAACCGCAAATGAAAATGAACAAAACATTGATATCATACATGTTGAGACATAGCGTTCTCTTCTACGGTACCATTGTAAATCGGGCATTGCCATCTTTGCATAGATGGTTGCACTTGAAATTTTGCTTACTGTCCCTTAAAAACTGTTATATAGCTTTAAAAAGAAAGAATTTTTAAAAATTCAAAAAATCTTGAAATATTTACCCTTGGCCTTCTCCAAGCAGTTGGTGCCTTGATGTCGTCCATTTTGAAAATCTAATGATATTAAGATATCAAAAATTCATTTAAAGGACTTAAAATGGTTCTGGTTACCCTGTTATTAACCCTGTAAAGGCCCTCTAAAAAAAAGTAAATGTATGAAATTTCAATACATGTTCATACCTCAATTTTTCCAGGCCAGTTTTTTAATTAAAGAAAAATCAGGCCCCCCGAATTAAATGACTGGGTGGGGTGGTAAGAAGGTTTTTAAAACGGCAAACACAAAGGTCGGAAAAAAATGTAAAAAAAAATATTGTTAAAACCATGTGACAGGTGGTTTCATATTCATTTTTTTCTAAAATTTTTCTATTTAGAATTTAAAAAAATATCACAAACTGGCCTTTCGACCGTTCTAAACAAATGCAAAATCCTGGGGGGGGGACACCACGAGAGTCAATGGCAATGTTGTGAACCCGCAGTCTGAAGTAAAACTATTTAAAAAGTGTGAAGAATGTTTTATTGTGAATACTTGGAAGATTTGCACACTGTTAAAAAGGCAAGAATTCTAGTTTTTTGTTATAAAAATTAAGTTAAAAGTAAAACATCCAGCTAAAAATACGTAATATCTAAACTAAAACGATGTTTCATTTTGGAAAAGGAAATTTTTAATTTGAAAAACAAAGTAAAAACGTTTGATTTGTGACCAGCATATTTTGATGATGCTATTTATATTATTGGTAATATTGTTTTCTCACTTCACATCGTTTAATGATATTATCTAAATGATATTTTAAGTGTAATGGTACTATATACGCTATTATCATTTTGATATGAATATAATGGATAAAACTTAATATAAAAAATGTTCAGCGTTTTTTTTTCTCAAAAATTCAGAATTTTTTATTACGTTCTAAAATTTTCAGTGTATCACTTTTCTACCCATTTAGATTTGAAATAAAACTATAAATATATACATAGATAAATATGATAACAGAGTTTGCCCTTCCTACCTTTTACACCTTCAACTGTAGTCCTGGACTTAAATATTTTAAAACTTGTTTCTAAATTCAGTTTTAAGCTGGAGTATTTGGTAAAATTCTATAAAAGTATTTAGGCCTGTATAGCCTGAGTATGCCTGTATACCCTGAGTATGCCTATATAGCCTGAGTATGCCTGTATAAACTAGAATGACCTGTAAAGTATGAATTACTAAGGATACACAAAGAATGCTTTCTTTCTATACTTCTATCTTTCTATATGTCTGAGCATCTAGGCATATTTCTATCCTTATAACTTTCCATCTTTATATCTAACTGCCTATCTATCTATCTATCTACAATCCAACTAGTTCTCCCTATTATCTGTTGTCCCTGAAATCCTGAAGAGAAAGAATTTAAAATGTTAAATTATTTCTTAAAATGTAGTAATATACATCGCAGACCCATTCAACAAAACTTAAATTTTCTTTTTAATTAACTAATTAACACGTATTGTTTTCAAATAGATATTGTTTATATTAATTCAAGGCTTTTAAACCGAAAAATTGCATCAATTTTTAAGGCATTATTTGCTAGCCCTGGCCTAGACCTTATTGCTTGAGAGTTTTCAACATTTGGAACACTGGGAGTAAAGAGTTTTCAATTTTCAATTTTCAATTTGAAGTGTGGCATGACCAAATTCACAACTCACAACAGTACCCTTTAGGAATTGAGCCTTTGATACAAACTGTAATTTTTTAATCCATGTATCTTGCCAATCCAATTTCTTGAACCTAAGATATTTCAAACTATTAATTCTGTTTGATCTAATAATCTAAGTTTGACATATCAAAGGTCTAAACCATTAGATGGCAAAGATATAGCAAATTAGCAGATTAGCAAATTTGAGTTTGTGGTAAAGACTCAATACCTTTGTTGAATTTTCAATCATGAAAGTCTAATTGTTATTCATTACAGAAGCTTGAAATCGTTTTAAACTTTGATAAAGGGCTTGAAATCGTTTATGCTTTATGTTCGAATGATATTAATATTTACTTTTTAGAAGTCGAGGAAAATAAATATTTACATTTACATTTTCTGTTTGACCAATGATTAAACGCATATGAGGATGTACATGTAAACGTACATGTGGATGTACAGTACATGTAAACGCACATAAGAATGCACAGTACATGTAAAGGCATATGAGGATGTACAGTACATGTAAACGCACATGAGGATATTCGAATAGAATTTTCTATTCGCACCACACTAGGTGTAAAATCTCCATTTGTCGAGGGGCACGCCCGAATAAAAAAAAAAACTTTTTAAACCTGCATCTGGTTAATAATATGGAATATATATTTCTTGGCTGTTTCTGTAAAGCAGAAATTCGCCATAAAATTGAAAACAATTAATTTTCTTAGAAAGAGAAACTTCGATTTATCATTGATTGGTTTGTGCAAATTTAGGTTTGGAGCTGACTGCTGTTTCTAAGATGAACAGGAAACTTAATACAAAATTTTCGAAACCGATTTTTAAAGAACCCAAATCCAACAAGTTTGAACGAATGAAAAATTTAGTAATCTTTGGAATAAATTTTCAGAACCAAACTGCATCATGTCTAAACGTATCCAAGCAAACCGAGTTTCTCAAACTGAGTTTGGTGGTATAATTTTTTAAGTTCCCTGCTCTGTAAGTAATAAACTGAGCATATTATATCAGGGTTCTTTACAAACAAATTAGTTCCACAGCAGTAGGTAAACTGTCAAATCTAGGAAATAATAAACAAATCCCCCCCAACCCCCATAGATACAGTTACCCACAAAAAATGAGAATGAAGGACGACCTGAAACTCTTAAATATGAATATAATAGGTTAAAATTATGTCTAAATGTGTTCGCCGAGAAAGTAACTATTTAAAGCTACTGCTTTAACCAGGAATGTAAGAGACTAGGCTGAAAATATTCCGTATAGTCGTCTCTGAAGTCTCATTGTTTGTGGGTAACCCTGTTTAATCTCCCTCCATAATTTATAGTGGACTTCAGAGATTAATATATTTTATTTTATTTTTATGACCAGCTGAATGAAATCCACATAAAACTATTTGTCTTGTCTAATCAAGTATTGTGTTTACTTTTTTTGGCATAAAAACCTGAAACATCAAAACTGATTATAAAACTGATATATTATTAGTATTACAGCTAAAATAAAAACCAGAGGTCGATTTTAAAGAATTTGAACCGCGTCGCTGAACCGCCAATAACCGGTTACAATTGAGCGCCTGCTCAAATCTCGAAACCCTTATTAAAATTTCTGTAATAAACCATCCCTAGCTGGGGCCATGTGAAGTTCGTCGAAAAAAGGAGGGGGTCACTTAGTTCACCTGTTTTAAAAGTTTTTCTTCAAAACGAGGCCCTAAAACTAGACTTCACAGATAAGTGCTGTGATTTTTTTAAAAAGTTTTCAGCAATAAATTTTATTAAGGTCTCCAGAGTAATTGTTCTAAAGAGTGTATTGTTTCTTATAAATATCATAATGGAAATAAATTATTTTTATGTGTTTATTTCATGTTTAATTCTAATTTATATAAATTGTATTTGTATCCTTAATGTTTATTTTATGTCTTGCGCGTATTAATATATATAAAGTTGTAATCTCTGTTTGTTTATCTGTTTGTCTGCTTGTCTGTTTGTTTGTCCGAAAGAGGCTGTTCAGTTATTTCAAAAGGGGCGACAAATTTTTGTTTACAGGGAAGTAAAGAAATTTTACTTGACCAATGGTTCCGAATACCAATGTTGCCTAGCAAATAACTAGAGCAGAGCGTTATAGAATGTTTTGTAGGCAAACTAGGCCGAGGGAAGTGGTATCCGCAGTTAAAGGGACTGTAAGCGTAATTTTAAGTGACCCGCCATGCAAAGATGGCAATACCCGATTTACAAAAGGACTCTTGAAAGCTTTGTCTGAATAAGATATCAATGTTTTTGTTTGCAAAGATAATCAGAGTTTGTGGCACACATAGATCCAGACTGTTATGAAAAGTTGCATCAATTTTTTAGACTTGGTCAATTTAAAAATGTCGCAATGGCATGGCTTTTGATTTTAACTTACTAAGTGACTTATACTTATGTGTTGAACTCTAGACTTCAATATTTCATAAACATCTAGAACATTTTTATGGTATAATTGGAGTAATTGGCGGTGAAGTGCTCATAGATTATTGAGTGAGAGCTTGCAACCTTTAAATCACGGTGGGCAAAGACTCCTTTTTACGCTGCAGATACGATTGCTACAACTCAGACATTAAGTTCATGGAATTCTAGCAATCTTTCTTCGAGCAATTATATCTGCAGCAATTTTGAACCACAAAGTATAAACCGATGTAAACCCAGTAGAACGAACAATTATAAGTTAAAAGTTTGAATACCTACAGAACTATAGTTGACACTAATTACATATTAATTTCCTTCCAAATGACAAAAGTTTGGGAGAATGTGTCAGCAGATTTATTTTTAATTCCAGAGTTCTCAAGTTATACCACTAACTCGTTATTTTACAAAATACAATGTTTTGCCCTTTTACAACAAACAAATCATGACACACTTTGCACAGACCAGAATGTACATTCAGTTAATATTTTTTCGAAAACCGGCAAACATGGTGTTCTGATTTTTATAATCTTCTGAACGATATAATTTAACTAAAATGATTATTAAAATATTTAGTATAGAAATGGATGAATAAATGGGGCTTAAAAGTCAGGACTCTCCGATTTATTGAAACCTAAAACCTTCAAAATTGAAATTCACAGACAAAAATTTTAACTTGTAAATTGTTAATATTTCAACCTTGCACCCACGTGATTAATGCAAGATCTGAATTTTTTGAATTGTGCCAAAATAGTTTTAAACCTTTTTCGTCATAAAAATAAGATATTTTTTATCTAACGTAGTTAAACGTATACGATTTTATCGGAATCAATTTCGGTTAGGCCATAATTTACAATATAATGAAGACGACTTTCGATATAAATTTTGATTTATATTAAACTTTTAAATAGCAAGAATACCCAAAACATGGAAATAAAGAGAATCTGCCAATTAAAAAAGCTTCTCATTAATTACTTGTAAATTTGTAATTCGAAAAAAGCTTGTTAACAATTAAAACTTCAAGAAAAAAGTCGTCTTCGTTATATTGGTATTATCGCCTATCACCGTAGTAAATTTGGGGTGTAGTTAATTTATGAATTTTTTGACTTAATTACCTATACATCAATATATTTAAAACATATCAAATCTATGCAAAGTTTCAGAAACCTCGTTTATCTAGATCAAACGTGTACTTTTTGCGAACAATTAAACACGTATAATTATTTACAAATACTTTAAAGGGAAGTTAAGGGAACCCGTTGTTTAATAATATTTTTAATTTCCCGAAAAAGTAAATTGTACACAATTTTATCGTCATGAGTTGAAAATGCGCGATTTTTTCCCGAAAACTTCGCAGAGCGGGTTGTTAATTTACTTGATTGTCCCAAGGACCGTTAAGTTACTTAACGTCCCTCTGTTGGGAGATTATAAGGTCGGTAATGTTTGTAAAAAAAGGCTGCAAGAAAGGTTAATTAATAATTTGCACAAAGTAACAGTGTTTTTAACTGAATTTGAAAAGTTCAGACGAATTAGAAAACACGGTTTCGTTTGTTAATTGTTACCTGCTCCTGCACCAAAATATCGGAACAGTTCTATATTTAGATTTTAGTTAATTGTTTTTAGTGCTTTTGTCCGTTTTGTTACATTTTTTGCACTTAGTTTTTAATATTTATTTCAAGTTTGACACGTTATACTGCAATACTAGACAGGCATTATTTTGTACTTTTCTTCAATTAATATTTATGTGTTTAAATACAGTTTTTTCCTCAAAAAAATGTACATTTAATTTGATTACAAACCTGGGCATGTCTTAAAGGGACAGTAAACGTAATTTCAATTGACCCTCGATTTTTAGACTGGCAGGTCTGATTCACAACGGGTTTTATTTCAGTTGATTTAACGAATAGAATGAATAGAAAATATTCTACCATAAATAGAAAATATACTTACCATAAATAGAAAATATACTGTACATGTGTAAAAAACATACTAATTAGAAGTAGAAAATATACTGAACATGAGTAGAAAATATACTAAACATGAGTAGAAGATATACTGAACATAAGTACTATAAAATATACTGAACATGAGTATTATAAAATATACTGAACATGAATAGACAATATACTGAACATGAGTAGAAAATATACTAAACATGAGTAGAAGATATACTGAACATGAGTAAAAAATATCCTGAACATAAAAACTTGAATATATATATATATATACCCAGGGTTAATAATTTTCTAATTTTCTAGTTTCCCCACAGTCTTTCAGTATCCATGGACCCATCATTACACTTGGCAAACTCAGAAGGTTTATTTTAGGACAGGGGAAATTTAGATGGGAGGAGGGGGGGGGCAATTTTTTGTTTTTATACAGAACTTCTTACACAATTTGAAGTGACTATCAAGTTAAAAATACATATATAAACAAAATATTTTGGAATTCCAAACCAATATTAACATTCAATGATGTCCCTGAGAGACTGAGGGTCATATTTATACATTATTTTTGACAAATAAACCATCGGTTTAAACCCACATAAATTTCACAAGAAGGGTATTTGGAGTACGTCCCGTTTTGCCCTACATAATCTGTATGTGTACTGTACAGCTTGCCCTAGCAGGTTCAACGTAGGTCCGGTACTTAAAATGAACCGGAGTTTCCAGTGAACCGGTTTTTGTAAATAATTTTTTAATCCGAAAAATGTCAACGTGAATCTCATTGAAGGTTTAAACATGGCAGGTCATGATTGAACTAGATGAACTTTGAAATTTACAGTATATGAATAAAAAAGAAATCCTCAGGCAGTTAGTTAGTGGTGACCTTTAACCCTATCTCTGCTGGGGTACTTGAAAACCAGGATATGCTGGGGGGGTCAATTTGACCCCCCTCTAAATCCCATGTTTAATGTCCAAATATGACAAATGATACATCATTGGAAGCTCTACTTTTAGAATCTGCAAAAAAAATTTTCAAATTTGCAAAAATTGAATTTTTGATCGCAAAATCCAGTTTTATAGAAAAAATGTTTGCAAAAAAAAATTTTGCCAAAAAATGAAATATTATACATTTTTGAAAAGCACTTGACCATGCCATTTCAAATATGCAAAATTTTTTGCAAAATTATAAATAACCTAATTTCTAATCAAGAAAAACTAAAAATGTGCAAATTTCCTTTGACAGGTTGTTTGCAAAAAATTTGCAATTTTTTTATTTATATGAATGCGCCAAAAAATAACTATAGATTGTAAAATCTGAATGATTTGTTTGAAATTAAATTAATTTTTTTACGATCCGAGTTGTATATTGCAACTTTCTGAATTTGTGTGGACGCTACGTTCTTCAGTATAAGTCGTTTTTAACAATTTTCTTCTAATCGATGCAACAGATAGAAAAGATTAGTAGCGATCAAAAGCGATTATTTTTTGCCGCAAGCCTATATCCCCTTTCATTTTTTGCAAACACTCCCTTTAAATAGGGCAGCCATTGTATTTGAAAAGAGCTATTGACAACTAACCCCTTGAATTACCTTTATCTGAACCATAATGTGGGAGTCATCGTCGTTTTACTTCGAGGTGTCTCTAATACATAGTGTGTTTAAAGGGACTGTAAAGGAAACATGAAGGGGGGTAAAGGCTGAAACCTGAGAATCTCAGGAGTTTACCAATACCTATAAAACATTTATCTGATGTTGCTGTCTCGAGGAATTGATATCTAACTGTATCAAAATTATACCTAGTTATAGTATAGTATTCGTAGTATAAAACAGATCATATTCAACAATTACACTCGACCAATCTGAAAACAACGATATCTCAGAGGAGCCTTGTAAGCTCAAGTTTGCTCCTATTATCATTTGGATTTAATAATTTTTCATTTTTAATAGATATAATTGATAATATTATTTATGCGTCCAGAACATGTCACCAAAACTCCAACCAATTGCAGTGTAGTATTATATTGTCACATGTCTTCATTTGTATCACGTGACGAGTGTACTGCACTGACGTATATCTGACATATATACATTTTGGTATCATTTTGACACAGTTTTATGTCAATTTCATAAAATAGTTTAAATTATGTCTGCAGTCCCAATTAGAATAAATTATCATTAGTAAAGAATGAGCCCCCCTGCTGCTGCTGAGGAACCTGAAGATGCTTTAAAGGAGAAAGCCGGAAGGTTTGTAACTTTAATGTAACTCAAGTTGAAACGAAATAACGCTGATAAACATTAAACAATGTTTGATCTCCATATCTACGAAAACGTTTAATATTGATGAAACCAAGCTTGATCCTTAAGTTTAGCAAAAAGATGGTAGGGTTTTAATAGTTTTAAAACGATTGAAAAAACGATCGTTTTTCGTTTCGTTTTGGCTTTTTAAACAATCGTATCGTTAAAAAACGAAACGGAAAACGATCGTTTTGAACGAAAAAAATCTTTTTTGAATTAATCTGAAAACTACAAAACGACTTCTTCTTTTTAATCTTTTTCAAAAACAATCGCTTTTAAAAACGACCGTTTAGTTTTTCGTTTTTTCTTAATCGTTTTTAAAACAAAACGATCGTTTTTCATAAAATGACAACGATCCATCCATATCCGAGGGTAGGACCAGTACAGAATATCAAGAGGAATCAATCTAATTCTTAGAACTGCTCAAGATACAGACAACTGTTAGATCCAGGGATTTGCAGTGACTGTTATTTTTTTAGGTTTAATTACAGTATTATTATACACTCAGATGTGACTGATGGAAATAAGGTAAACGTGTTAAGGACCAAGAAACAAGGAGGATGTTAGGGATCTTTCCAAGGGAACAAGGGGAGTATTAGTGACTTTCCCCAGGGAACAAGGGGGATGTCATAGGGACCTTTTCTAGGAAGAGGGGAAGTTAGGGACCTTTCCAAGGGAACAAGGGGAATGTTAGGGACCTTTCCAAGAAAACAAGAGGGATGTTTGGGACCAAGGGAACAAGGGGGATGTGAGGAACCTTTTCTAAGAAACAAGGGGGATGTTCGGGACCATTCCAATGGAACAAGGGGGATGTTAGGGATCCCTCCAAGGGAACAAGGGGAATGTTCTTGACCTTTCCAAGGGAAAAAGGGGAATTTTAGGGACCTGCTAATAAACCTCCGGAGCTTCCTGATACGCAGAATAACCTTCAAACCCCGTCAAACCATCTCCATTTTCCACGCCTCTCCCTATGTCTCGTTTAGTAAAAAAATATTGTTTTTGTCAAAATCTGTTGAAAAATTTGTTCGTTCTGCAAAAAAACTATCGTTTTTAAAATTTTTAGGACAATATCTAATCGTTCCTTTATTAGTTTGTTTTCAATTAAACTATAGTTTTTTTTTCATTTCTCTTATCGATACAAGTTGTTCTTCTATTGTTCGTTTTTTTCTAAACGACATCATTGATGCTCACGAAAACATTTGTGCTAAAAAATTTTGTTAACAAAAACGATGCCCATCTTTAGCCAAAGGCATGGAGATGGTTTTGGGGCTTGGAGGTCATTCTGCGTTTCAGGAGGCTACTGAGATCATTTCACGGGGCTCATGGCGGCTCTCCCCCCCCCCCTACCTCGCTGGAAGGGGCTGCATTTGAGTCCCTTCATTTGTGAAGCGGTGTGTCTGATTCACAACGGGTTAATATTGTACGAAGAAGGAGATACAGAATATTTGTACAAAGGGTTAATATTGTTGAAGAAGGAGATACAGGATATTTGTACAATTGGGTTAATATTGTAGAAGAAGGAGATACAGGATATTTGTACAAAGGGTTGATATTGTAGAAGAAGGAGATACAGGATATTTGTACAAATGGTTAATATTGTAAAAGAAGGAGATACAGAATATTTGTACAAAGGGTTGATATTGTAGAAGAAGGAGATACAGGATATTTGTACAAAGGGTTGATATTGTAGAAGAAGGAGATACAGGATATTTGTAAAAAGGGTTGATATTGTAGAAGAAGGAGAAACAGGATATTTGTACAAAGGGTTAATATTGTACGAAGAAGGAGATACAGGATATTTGTACAAAGGGTTAATATTGTAGAAGAAGGAGATACAGGATATTTGTACAACTGCCTGTGAACGCCATGCATCAGGTGACAAGGTAATTTTTCTTTATATGTTTTAAATTTTATAATTTTCTTATACTTTAAACAGCCTTCGGGGGTGACCTGATTGTGCTACATTGTGCCCTTCGTAAACATGATTTAAAGTGAGAAATTTCCCACGGGACAAAGAATAAAATGAATAGTAAGAAAGAGAACAGAACATTTATTGGAAAGAAATCCAAAAATTTAGAAAATTTAGCGACAAAACATTTTGATGGATTTAAACATTTATTCCTAATTTAGCCGCCTATTCTAAGAAATAATGAGTTATGTGCCTCGACAATAGTCGACATGCTTGGGAAAAAATTCGGAGGTAAGAAAACAAGATTCACATTGAAAAATTGTCAATTAATGGGACTGATGACTTTTTGCAATGTATTTTATGCGTCATATTCACAACGATCATGCACTCCAAGGTTATAATGCAAGGAAAGTTATTTCAGAGGTGTACGCATCTTTTGTACTGCAGTGTACTGTCTTTGGGCGGTAATGTAAACACAAGACGGATGTCACAGCCTGACATGGGATCAATATTTCACATAAAAAATCAATGAAATATGCTTGTCATAGGACACTATTATGTGACATTAACAAAATTATCCAAATTTAATGTTTTTAACCTCTCGGATACTAAACGAACACTGATGCATCTATTTTTGTTTACAAAATCCGCCCAAAAGAGAACTGGTTTCAATATGTACGCAAAGTATACGCAACTGCAATTAACTTTCCTTGCATTATAACCTTGGATGCATCTATTCTTGTTTACAAATTCCACCCAGAGAGAACTGGTTTCAATATGTACGCAGAGTATACGATTACACAACTGCGATTAACTTTCCTTGCATTATAAAAATGCTGAATAATCGTTGTTAGTTCCTTTAATTACTATATTAATTAAGGGGGCTGGAGTGCTGTTGTTGGAGAAGGATTCAGTTTTCAAATAACTCATGCTACGTAGGTTATACGTCTCATTAAACATGGCAATTGAATGACGATTTCTATATCGTCTTTTTAAATAATTATTACATATAGTATACAGTGATACCTATACTGAGAAAGCTGTTACTCACAAGATATTCTTCCGCTATGTTTACAGTTTGTTTGTTTATGTTTTGACTGCATGACGGTTGTTCTTAGTAAAACTTAGTACATTACAGTACATTAGGTAAACTTGCCCACTTTCAATATTAATCTTGCAGAGACTTTAAGACCCGTATTTACAGCCATTTACCGTTTTCATAAAGTAAACTCTAGCAAACATAACAATAGTATTGCTTTCGAAATCAGGTATTTTAATGAAAAATCTTAACAAAGACGATCTCGAATTCGTCACACAATTCCCATGTTTATTGGAACATCTTGTAGAAGAGAATGTTTACAATATTTAACATGTTTGGGTTTTATTTCTCAAATTAAAGGTTGCACTAGGTTTTTTTTGCATTATATTTCTTTTAAAATAAATTTTTTTTTAAAATAAAGTTTTAATTTAAGATATTACTACCTAAGTTAAGTTGTCATTAAAGTCTTATTCTTTGTTGGAAACCCTGTATGGAAAATTTTCTTGACTTTTTTTCTTATTTGATTTCTTATTTTGTTCCTTTTCACGTACTGTGTACAATGTACATACAGGGTTACTGTGTACGTACTGTGTACAATGTACATTCAGGGTTACTGTGTACGTACTGTGTACAATGTACAATACAGGGTTACTGTGTACGTACTGTGCACAATGAACATACAGGGTTACTGTGTACGTACTGTGTACAATGAACATACAGGGTTACTGTGTACGTACTGTGTACAATGTACATTCAGGGTTACTGTGTACGTACTGTGTACAATGTACATTCAGGGTTGCTGTGTACGTACTGTGTACAATGTACATACAGGGTTGCTGTGTACGTACTGTGTACAATGTACATACAGGGTCACTGTGTACATGTAAAGGATTAGATTGTAAAGACGACTTGAAACTTTTCAAATATGACGATTTAAAGTTTAAATTATATTTTCTTACTTTAATGTAGTCTTTAAATGAAATATAAAATGATATATGATTAACAAGCCTTTATTCGTGAGCCTTAACAAAATGACTATATTCATGAATTGATTGATTTACAATGAACTAAATTGATCATTCAATGAACTGAATTGATTATACAATGAATTAAATGGATTAGACAATGAACTGAACTGATTATACAATGAACTGAATTGAATATACAATGAACTGAATTTATTATACAATGAACTGAATTGATTATACAATGAATTGAATGGATTATACAATGAACTGAATTGAATATTCAATGAACTGAATTGATTATACAATGAACTGACTTGATTATACAATGAACTGAATTGATTATGCAATGCATTTTTTGATTTTACAATGAATTTCTTGATTAAACAATTGATTGATCGATTTACAATGAATTTTATGATTTATTGATTGATGTAATTTCAGAAACACTCTGCTTTATATGTACTTTGGAGGACATCTTGCTGTCTGTGTCTGGAAAACTGATTGAAACATGCCAATCTTTAAATTTATGAAAAAATAATTTAGAAATAAATCGCTGATTCATTTTATTAAGTAGTTTTTAAATACAATCTCTGAAGAAATAAAATTAACTTTTTCCAGAAACAGTTAAAAAACAGTTAAAAACAGTTAAAAAACAGTTAAAAACAGTTAAGATCAGTTAAAAACAGTTAAAAAACAGTTAAAAACAGTTAAGATCAGTTAAAAACAGTTAAAAAACAGTTTAAAAACAGTTAAAAACAGTTAAAAAACAGTTAAAAAACAGTTAAAAACAGTTAAAACAGTTAAAAAACAGTTAAAAAACAGTTAATTTCAAACTGAGTAGATTTTTTTATTTATATTTAACAATTTAAAATTGCCTTTTCTATACTTTTATGACTATAATGTGTAAAAAAAGCTTCGTTTAAACTTCTTGTCTATTCAAACATAGTCGTCGGTTTGAAATTACAATTGGGAAATTCACCAAATACAGTCGTCGTCGCATATATCAATACAGTAAAAACTATTTTTTATTTCAATTTTGATCTATATCAATAAAAGCTGTCAACAAAAAAAGGTTCTCTGTAATTACTTCTTGTTCACAATCAAACCTGAAATTAACAAGCCGTCTTCATTGCTGAACACTGTCTTAAATAAATTCATTGTAAATTTGATATACTTACATTTAATCATGAATTGAAAACTTTTTTTCATCTCAAAACCTCGTCAAAAAGGTTAGTTATGACTGAAACTACGTAAGATTCCGGTGTTATATGAAATGTTCGTTGATTTAACATAAATCAAAGGCATATTAAATAAAAAATTTGTTTTTTGGTACTGTCTGTCTGTTGTTAACGATCAACATATTTCTTAATATATTTCAATACAAAGAACAAATTGAATCAGGAATTAACCTGCACATTAAGTTTAAATATTTATAAAGTATAAATCTTTAACAAGGCAGTTTCTTAGAATACCCTGTATCTATCTTTAACTCGGTAGTTTATTGGGACACCCTGTGAATTTCTCCAATACGCGTACATAAAATTCAAACATATTCTCTTGCATGAATATAACACTAAAATTATATATTCCCCTTCAAAAAGAATCTAGTAGAAGTAAAAATTGAACTAATAAACTCAGCTTCAGGTTTAATTTCCGTTCTGTACAATACTATAATTATTAATTACTACTTTACAGGCTGGGGCGTCGTAGTGGAGGTTTAGCTTGGGGGTGAAACTTTTTTTGTGCACTCCCTAACGGTTGATGTGCACCCCCTAGAAAACCGTATTAAACGGTTATTTGACCATAATTACCAATCATTTAGAAAACCCGTATTAAAAAAAATAAAGTTTAAAGTCTACCTTAATCTACCCGACTAATAGTCGTCTGACCATAATTACCAATCATACCATTATAAAGCGGTTGATGTGCACCCCCTAAAAAACCGTATTAAGAAAAAAAATAAAGTTTAAATCTATATTATCCTACCTGACATTAGTCATCTGACCTATAATTACCAATCATACCATTATAAAATCTATTATTAAAAAAAAGAGCAAAAAAACCTTTTAAAAATATATTTTTATTCTATTGAGTATTAAGATAATATCTTTATATTTTGACTGGATTATGACTAGATTACACTGGAGACATGGTATTATTTAAAGCTTTTTAACAATACCTGCATATGTACTTTGTGAGAGAAAAGATGTCTAATTACCATGTTGATAAAGAATGTTCTCAAATTTCTCTTTTTAAATATTCCCTACCAATAAATTTGAGACCAAGTGGGTGGTGTTTGCATTTACATTATACATGTTTATTTCAACCTGGCTGATTTTACATGTTATACATATTCATATTACATATACAGGTTATACATATACATTTTACAATTTACAATGAGTCGGGGCAGGATTAAAAGGCTCAGAAAGACTTTTAATGCTATTCTGTAAATAAAATGATGATGGTTGAATTTTGCTAGGTTGCGACGAATAAAGCCTGGTAAAGAATATATTACATGATTTTGTAAAAAAAAAGTTTGATATTACAAGAAACATTGAATATAAGAAAAAAATTAACAATTCCGTTCAATCGTCTCTGAAGTCTTATCCTTTGTGGGTAACCCTGTATACTAACTAATCAAGAAAAAAAATCCGCTGTCGGAAACTAATCAAGAAAAAGTATCCGCTGTCGGAAACTAATCAAGAAAAAGTATCCGCTGTCGGGAACTAATCAAGAAAGAGTATCCGCTGTCGGAAACTTATTAGGAGAGAAAGTATCAGCTGTCGGTAACTAATCAAGAAAAAGTATCCGCTCTCGGAAACTAATTAGGAGAGAAAGTATCCGCTGTCGGAGATTAATCAGGAAAGATAGTATCCACTATCGGAAACTAATCAGGAGAGAAAGTATCCGCTGTCGGAAACTAATTAGGAGAGAAAGTATCCGCTGTCGGAGGATAATCAGGAAAGATAGAAACCACTCTCGGAAACTAATCATGAGAGAAAGTATCTGTTGTCGGAGACTAATCAGGAAAGATAGTATCCACTGTCGGAAACTAATCAGGAGAGAAAGTATCCGCTGTCGGAAACGGAATTGATGGTTTCCGCTCTAAGTCAGCTCTTGATTTCATAGAACTTCCATCTTCTTCATACTTCACCTGGATTTCTAGAAAATACAAACCTACAGTAATCGGAAGTTTAAAGTTTGATGAAAGAAAGAATGCAATATTTCTTTTGTAAAATTCAAAATGCGGTCGAATGTTTACTCTTACCTTTCTCCGCTATAAGATTAAGTTTATGTTTTTTTCTGGAAAAAGAATTCATATTTTGCTGCATACATCCGCAAATCACTTTTATGAAGAATCAACAAAATCGGAATCGATCAATTTTCAGATAGCAATACAAGGATTTAATTCTTTGCCGGGACGAAAATGTAAACGGTGCCGTTGTGAATTGTGTATATTAAGGTACCTTTAACTTACTTGAGATATTTAGCATTGTTATCCCCCAGCCAATACTCCAACAGAGTCCAACCTATACAAATTCATGTAGATTCATACAAAGGATAAAATATGGGTGAAAACATGCTCAAATCTGTAATTAAAACCAAATCTTTTATTTTTCTTTGGATGGTTTTTTTTGCTTTATTCAAACCAATAAGCATGTAATTTCTTTTTATCAATATTAATACATTTATACTTTTTACATTTGGTAAAATTATTTTTTGATTTTAACGAAAGTCATTAAATTGTTTCAACATTTTTTTTTGCATAAAACAAATTAGTTTTTACAATTTTTCGGTGGTCAGATCTTTTTTTTTTCCAAAAGAATTTTTTTTTGTGCCTGTCAACTTTAATACTTTGTACTTACCAAGCAAAGGGGTGTTGTTACTGATTATAAATTTTCAATATTTTATAATTAAAACAAATTTTAAAAATTAAATAAACATATTTCTAGATTATTTTGTCTTTTTGGACTTTACACATAAAAAAGTAAACTAAAATTTACTTTTCATAAAAAAAGATTTAAAGAGATTTTTTTAAATTTGAAAATTCCTAGTTGAGCCAGACCAATACATATTTCTTAATATATTTCNATCTACAGTTTTTATTTTATAAAAGATGGCAATACTCGATTCTAACCGGTTCCCCTAAATGTTTGGTCAGATCAAATATAAATGAGATATAAAAGTTTTAAATTTTTAAAAGTTTACAAAGTGACTTGCGCATTTCTGCTGCAGGAACACATATAAGAACTATCAGAATTAAACCCTTTAAAACCTAGAAAAACGACAATATCTTCCACAGTGTTGATCAAACAAAGGTTTCAAGGGTACCTTTGTGAATCGTCTTTGCGTGGAGGGTCAAATGATATTACTCCCTTTAATGTTTTATGAGAAGATGAAATGTTTTTTCTATAATTGAATTCACCTGGGACAACCAACACGGGACACACAGTTAGAGCAACAGAGAACTAACAATCCAGACAAAACAGTTCCTAACATTTTACAGAGATAAATAAAGATAGAAATTTTGGAGTTCAATTTTATAAAAAAAAATCATACCTATAACACATCATTCAAATTAAAAGAAATGCACTTCATTTCCATCGGCCAAAGCCGGACCTACTCATTTTAAAAAGGCATTTATGTCGAATTTCTCAATTATCTGAAATCAAAGACGATATTTAAGTCATCTCTCAATTCTTATGTTTATTTGGACACCCTGTAACTTAGAACAGAACCGTTCCTTTCTTCTATAAGAATGTTAACTACAATGTAGTATTTCGTGTTCTGTTAAACATACGCTGACCTTTATTATAGAGAAATAAATCAGAAATAGACTGCCTTTTGAAATCAAAGATGCTTTATGAGGAGGTCCGGCTTTGGCCGGTGGAAATACAGTGAACATATTATTTTAATTTTAGATGACGTGGGAGGAAGTCTGGTTTTGGACAATTCATTATTTTATTTACCCAATCCTGGTAGAATACAGTTGAGAGATAAGCAGAGGGCTGCAGAGGGATAGGATAGAACAGGGATACCACCCTTTATCCAATCTTTATCTATCTAAATATATAGTTCAGGGATACCACCCTTTATCCAATCTTTATTTATCTAAATATATAGACCAGGGATACCATCCTTTATCCAATCTTTATCTATCTAAATATATTGACCAGGGATACCATCCTTTATCCAATCTTTATCTATCTAAATATATTGACCAGGGATACCACCCTTTATCCAATCTTTTTTTATCTAAATATATAGACCAGGGATATCATCCTTTATCCAATCTTTATCTATCTAAATATAGAACAGAGATACTACTCTTTATAATGTTATATTTCAGAATGAGGAATTAATTTTCAAAATGTTTTCATAAGTTTCTTTTTTAACCAACAAATATCGAAGACTATGTTAAAAAGAACATAAATATCCTAATATTTTGACAATAACAAAATGGAATTATGTTTTTCAATGATTTTCTTTTTATAAATTTACCAATTGAGGAGATATCGGTTTGTTTTCAAGGTTGATATTTATCATGCTGTTTCCAAATTTAATAAATAGCTTGGTTTTGTTAAACTAGAACCAAATTTAATAAATTTGAACTTTGAATCGGTGGTTTAAATTTGATCCAGCAGTTGGTAGTTCAGCAACGTAGCTCAAATTTGTTAAATTCGGTCCCTGCTTAGTCTAAGTTGAATCACTTCTCTCATGCGCCGGTTCAAATACAAAAGAAGTGGTTCAACTCATTCGAAGTAGTTTAAATAATTCTTGCTATTTATTAAATTTGATCCCTGATTCCACGTTCAACATTGGTGATTTCTTCCTTCCATGTCTTTTTATTCAGAGAATAATATTTTTACTGCATAAAGGAACTGATACCAACATCCTCTTTTTTCTTATCCTTATTTATTTTTGCAAACTGATGGTGTGGATCTTTGATTTCAAATTAGATTAAATATTTTGAGTTTGACATATTCCATGTTTACACCATTTAAAAACAGCAATGCAAAATAAAAATAAATCTTTTCGATAAGTTAAAAAAACATCAATTGAATCCATTCGTTTTAATAAATTAATTTGATTCTATAATTAACCAATTAACTTTAAAATCCAGCATTTTAAACATTTTGAAAAGCGGGTGTCGAACATAAAAAAATTATTTTTATCGAATTCCTTAATATGGCTTGATTGATTGGAAGAGATTGATGAGCTAACAGAAGATTTCTCTACAGGTCTTAATCTTAAAAATATACATAATTTAAATTCTCTTGTAAACAGCTCATATTGAAATGAGACGAAAAATAGTTTTGCAAGTTCAAAAATTCGGAGAAAAATTCTTTAAAGATGTCGAAAGCAATGTCTTTTAGGAAACAAATATTAAATGGTTGATTTTAGATCTTCTTCATGGCAGTATAAGAGAATAGTTTACAATAGTTTTACTAAGATCATTTATAAAATTTTTAACAATTTTGTACAAAATTGATTTGTTTTTTTACACAGAGTTTGCCACTGGCTTAATTAAGATTAACTTTTTAAACACCGAAAATTATTCTAAAATTAGCCATTGCTTGAAATATTTTTGAAAAACAGAGTTTCTGTGATAATGATGAAAGCGTTTTTGCCAGAAAACCTGGGACTTTTTAAACCGTCTTCCGTATATACATGGAATAAAATGTTTAATTTTAAATTTTAATTATAAAGTGGTGCACCCGATTCACAATGTTACCCTAAAACTGTGTATGGGTCCTGAATGAATATATTCTATTTCTTAAAGTGATTTTTGAATATTTTCAACTGTGGCTTATCTGTAAAAGTGACAATTCCTACATATGACTCGGGATTTTGCAAACGCCACACTCTACGTTGAATTTTATACACTGCACCACCAGGATACAATTTAGAGATTAAATTAATCTTGAAATAGATTAAGAGGAGATCAATCATTGATCTCAATATCCATAATTCTAAAGTTTTCAGCTCAGATTAAATTGAACCACTTGCTATTTATTAAACCTATTCCCAGGTTCTTTAAAAACAAAGCTTTGATTATTCTGACAGAAAGTTTTTATAGTTTTACTGCTCAAGAACATTATTTAGTGAAAACCTTGTGGAATTATGTTGATCCCTGAAAGGGACTGTAAGCTGCGTGGCATGTCCGATTCATGTTCCGAATCTTAAAAAACGAAAATATGATTAAATTTACTTCCGATTTATCTACCTTCTGCATTTATGTTGCAGGAAAAAATGTAGAAAACAACGTTTTTGATCAGAATTTTTTTAAGTACCATGGTGAATTGGGCATGCCATCTTTTTTAATGGAGGGTCACGGATAGTTACGGTGACAGTCTCTATTAAAGACCTGGATGATATGGATAATTACGGTGACAGTCTCTATTAAAGACCTGGATGATCTGGATAATTACGGTGACAGTCTCTATTAAAGACCTGGATGATCTGGATAATTACGGTGACAGTCTCTATTAAAGACCTGGATGATCTGGATTGCGAGGATCTTCTTGATTTGGATGAAATAGAATCTCTTGCGGATCTTCCGGAACTTTTCTGGATTTCAGATTTCCCGGTCAAACTTGGCGAACTATAAAAGGGATAAAAATATGAATCAAATAGTCGCTGTTTTTTCTTTTATAATGTTTTTATTCCACATTGAAATAATTTTTGGGAAATCTAAAAATGTTGCCATTGGAGGTATTTTTGGATTAAACGAGTTATTAAAGGATTTAGTTTCGGTAAAATATTCAATATCAGTGAAATTATTTCAAAAAGTAAGAAAAATTGCATCCTAAACATAATTTGTATATAAATACATGGTTAACCATAAAATATAAGACTTTATACGATTTAAAGTTTGATTTTTTGTTTCTACATTGAATTGGGTGTTTTGATGGTTTACTAGATGATAAAGCATAGAAATAAGCTAGTTTTGGCCTACAATGTACCCTGAATAAATAAAAACGGACTAAACAAATTCCGTACAATCGTCTCTGAAGCCTCATCCTTTGTATGTAAGCCTGTAGGATGTTGAAAACATCCATACCTTGATATTTCAGATGTATTTTCATGTACCGAAGTTTTCACCTGAAAAAAATCTAAATAAAATGATTCAAAATTTTATTTAACTGAAAATGAAAATTCTTATTCATGCAAAGTTTTAATCAGTAAAAATCAGAACAAAAGTCGTCTTTCAACTGAAAACGTACACGTACACATCGCTATGAATTTGGAATTTGTTACTTTTATACTTATGATTATGTCATATGTGTAACATTTAAAAAGTATTCAGTCATAAGTTCCAAAATAAAAGGTTTTTGTTTTCATTATATACAGGAAGTAGCAATCTCTGTTTGTTGTCTGTTTTTTACTGTCCTATCATCTACCACTTGACCTATTTGGGTCCCTTGGTAGAACCACGGGTCGGGTATGTTATCAGCTTGGTTTAAACATTGAGTGGGTTGACTTTAACAGAGAAAGTTTCAAAACAAATCTGAGTTCCCAAGCTATTTAATGAAAAAAAAACTTGGGTTTCGAAGCTATTTCGTAAAGAACAAACTGGGTTCCCAAATTGTGTGGGTACTGACTTTTACAGAGAAAGTTTCAAGATAAATCTGGGTTTCCAAGCTATTTAATAAAGAAAAAACTGGGTTCAAGCTAGTTGATAAAAAAAACTGGGTTCCCAAGCTATTTTATAAAAAAAACTGGGTTCCCAAGCTAGTTTATAAAAAACTGGGTTCCCAAGCTATTTGATAAAAAACTGGGTTACCAAGCTAGTTATTAGAAAAACTGGGTTCCCAAGCTATTTGAGAAAAAAATGGGTTCCCAAGCTATTTGATAAAACGACTGGGTTACCAAGCTATTTAATAAAAAAACTGGGTTCCTAAGCTATTTGATAAAAAAAACTGGGTTCCCAAGCTAGTTAATAAAAAAACTGGGATTTCCAAGCTAGTTAATAAAAAACTGGGTTCCCAAGCTAGTTAATAAAAAAAACTGGGTTCCCAAGCTAGTTAATAAAAAACTGGGTTCCCAAGCTATTTAATATAAAAAACTGGGTTCCCAAGCTAATTTAAGATATAAAATTAAATACAAATTTTTTACTTTATATTCAGTTACAATTTTACATAAATGAGAATATGTTTGAAAATTAAAAATATGATTTTCATGAAATATACAACACTTTTGTGTGATTTTTGAGTTTTTTAAAATGTTGTTTTTAAGATATTTTTGGAAATTATTTGGTATAGGTAAAAAATGTTGCGTGGACGAATTTTAGTTATCGTCGCTACAAATATAATTTTTTTACCTGAATATCCATTTTTTCATAAGACTTTCATTTTCTTTTTACAAACAAAATCCATCCCAGGATATCAATAAAATTTTGAATGAAAATACGAATTTAAGAACAGTTGAGCATTTTCCTTTTCAGAACAATCACAAATAAAAACTGACAATTCCCTGGATGGTTGGTGTTTGCTTGAAAACTGAAGATACACCTTGACCTTATTATTAGTTCTATTCTCCCCTCACCCTTTCAACTTTGTTTTTCATCAGTTTTACTTTTCAACATTTCATTCGAACCTTCCAGGGGCGAATTCAGGAACTTGTTAGTGGGGGGGGGCTTTAAAAAGTTCTGTCTAAGGAGGGGCTTAGCACCAAAAAAACCTAGAAATCACAAATTTCATTGATCAGCCCCCCCCCCCTGAGTACGCCTCTGGAACCATCCTCTAGATAAAGGACTGCATGAAGTCATTGTTCCAATATTTTCCTCACAATGACAAAAAATACTTTTTAAATGGCATAACATCATGTTTTGATTGATTTAATTTTTTGTTAAGAAAACTTTTCACATTTTTGGGTTCTGGCTTTAATCACATGAGAATACATTAAATATTTTCGCCATGGGCTGATAGGGATAAAAAGCAACAAAAACTATTTGAATTTTGATTTAAATCAGAATTGGTAACGCAGTCTTTATTTACAAGAATATAAAGATTCTTTAATAATTAAATTTTTCGCCTGGTTTTAAAGATGATTTCATAAAATTGTTTTATTCTTACAACTACACATTAATCTCTCTATAGAAAGGGATGATGTATTTGGTGTACTTTGTGATCATTTTTTAAAACTATCAAAAAACGATGGTTTTTTGTTGTGATCGTTTTAGTAAAAACAATGGGTCACAACGAACAAACAACTTTTTTGAGCTTTTACAAAATTAAAAAGGAAATGATGATATAATTAGTTTTTTTAAATGATTCTACGTTTTTTATAATTAATTTCAATTTTTTTCTGGAAGATAAGTTTATGAATGATGTCTTAAATGGATTTTCTTTATTGACAGAATAAATCTAAATATTTTCTGGACCAAGGTTTTTCTGATCTAAGGGTTTTCCGACCAAAAAATGTAATTTCTATAAAAAAGGGCATTAATAATTGTTAACAAAGGGTCGTCATTAACAGTCGTTAATGAAGAGTCGTCATTAATGCTCTTTAACAACCGCTCACGATCACCAAAATTAAAAACTACCTACCATCATTAACGAAACGTCGAACTAAAACTGAAAAATGACTGGTTCGTTTTTTGATTTAAAAAATCTTTTCAAAAACATTTGTTTTTTAAAAAGGACCGTCTCGCTTTTCCTTTTTTCTTTGTAGTTTTTCAAATGCAGCGATAGTTCTTAAAAAAGGGAAAATGATCCATCCCTATTCCCAATGTACAGTAAACATATGGATTATATAGGGCAAAATGGGACGGTAAGCCAATTGAACAATCTCCGTAGAAGAGAATGATTTATTTGGTTTACTATCCTGCTTTACCATCATATGATCTTATAGGCTGTCTGTATACTGTACAGTATATATAACTTTCTCAGATGCCTAAGTCAGGTCAGTACTTATAATAAAGTAGGAAGTTACGTGCACTTGCCGCGTTAAATTACAAGAAAAGAGAAATTTGTATATATTTTAAGGCTATGTCGGGTTAAGACACTTTCTGGGCCGAGCGCTGCAGTTAGGACAAGCTAGGGGGCCAAGCGCTGCGACTGAAAGTCTTGTAGTTGAACGCGGCATGCAAACGTATCTTCATTGTGCTTCTGCCTTTTAAGTTTAAAAGGTACCAAGACTGCATGATGACTGAATGTTTAGGTTAAAAGGTACCAAGACTACATGAAGACTGAATATTTAGTTTTTAAGGTACCAAGACTACATGAAGACTGAATATTTTGTCTTCCAAAGAATAAAGATTGCCTAAACCCTGGTATCAATATCGTGATTTAAAATTCCGGACAAAACTTACATAAACAATGCAGAAATCTTTCAGTTTGATGGATTGAATAAACATTTTTTAAAATATAGAACATCACTGGTACGACTTTGTGACCTCGTAACTCCTTACAAAGATTTAGTTTTGAAAATATCAAATTATCCGATTTCGTAATAGTTCAAACCATTTTCTTTACAATAGCTCCTCAATTCCTTCAAAAGGAGGCACAGAAGCTGCAGATATGATTAAAAACATTAACGATTTCAATCTTTCGTGTAATTTACTTAAGTTTGCCGATTTTAAGCCCGCGCAGACTGCAGAACAACTTTAAGCACTGCGAACTGACCTCCGAAGCCTCCTGATTCTCAGAATGACCTCCTAGCCAATCAAAATCATCTCCGTCTCTCACGCTAAGTCTCCTACCCTCCGCAATGCAGTCTCCAAGTCCAACATGTTTATCTCCAATAACAAATATTTGGCTTGTACAAAAAGCCTTTATTTTCTAAAATCTCGACTATGTAATGGATCTTTAAAAATTAAAAATGAATTAATTAATTGATATTTAAACTTCTTTTTACGTTTTTCAAAATTCCACAAATTCTTAAACATGTGTGCATAAATATTGCGGCTTTATTTCAAGATAGAAACATTTATTTTCCCAGGTGTATCATGTACGAATCTAATTAGGTCAGCACCAATTCACAACACTAATATGTTCTGTGTATTGGTGCTTAATAGTAAACACAAACGACGCTAAGGGTACCCTTAAAAATCGGGCTTAGCAATCATTGTACAAGCGAAAAAATCCTTGAATTTTTACTCTCTGAACTAGTAGTATAAATAAAAAATAAAAAATAACAAGTTCCATTTAAAATTTATTGAATTGAAATATAAACAAGATATGACGACTGCTAATTTTTACACAATTATCCTAATTTTGGTTGAGGAACATAAAACTGCAGTACCCAAAAACAAGGGAGGGGGGGGGGGGTAAAAATAGTTTAATAGTTAATACGAATGTATGATTATTTAATATTTGTCACTGAACAGAGCAGGGAGGGATGTTTTTTTAACAGTGCACCACTTTAATGTTCCAAAGCCATCAAAATTATTTTGACATAATGCCAGCAAATTCAGTGAAAATAAATTGGTTAGAAAAAATATCTGATAGAATATATATCATATGTGAATATTATATATAACCCACCGGCATTCATCGAAAATAAAATCTTGAAAAAAAAATCACTGTATGAGCAAAGCACTGCGAATAAACTGTAAGTATAAAATGACAAAGATCGGTTGAAAATAAAACTAAAATCAGTATTAATAAACTGGTGAATATTTACAAAAGAATAAACATTATCCTTTATATTACATGATAGTTTAACCGGAAACGAAGAGGAAGTTTATCCTCTCAAGTTAGCGGTAAATCACGTGGCACAATTACAGAGCTCCAAACAACAATCATTAGTTAACACCTCATCCTGTTTCAGATATTTGTGAACTTTTCTATTCAACCCTCGTTTATCTGATATTAGTTTCTGGTAATTCTGACGGATTTGCAAGAATTAAAAAGTGAATTAAGCAAAGTAATTAGTTTTGAAGACTGTTTTCTTTCTTCCGAAATAAAGAGTTACAATTTTTTCAGGATTAAAACTTGGAGATGAAATCTGATTCAAATAGGAGATGAAGTTGGTTTGGTATTCGATAATAAATATGATTGGAGCTCATAGACAGAATTTTCTTTCTCCACACAACACTCGAAGATCCTAAAAATATCAATGTTATCCCATTTTATCAATAAATCATCAACCAACATCAAATCAATTAATTACTCGTTAAGCAATCCCTTAATCTCAAGCTGTCTTAATCTCTCATGTAATTAGTAAATCAATCAATCAATTAATCCATCGATGAATCAATCAAGCAACGATCAATCAATCAATCATATAATCAAACAATCAAACAATAAATCAATCAATCACACAATCAATGAATAAAATGAATGAATAAATTAATCAACCAGTCAATCAATCAGCTAGCCAATCAGACAATCAATCAATCAAGCGTCTAAACAATTATCAATCATCAAATCAACTGTCTAAATCTGAGGAATTACTAATTTGATTAGTTTGGTTTCAGAATTGGGGGGGGAATGATTTTTAAGATAATATTTGTCCTCAATTCAGCGAAAAAAAAACCTAAAATAAAAAGAAGGGTGTATGATGAGTCGACTTTACTTCACCCAGACATATTGGATTTTAGAACGACTTTTTTTGCTTCAGTCCTTATTCCTCGGATGTAAACCGGTTTTTATGGCGATTAGATTTGATTAACGTGGCTATAATGCAAGCGAAATTGTTTTTAGTCAAAATGTCACTTTTCATGTATTAAAAGAATTCAAAAACATTGTTATCGTACAAATCTGTTTATAAATTAAAAAGTTAGCGACAAAAAAGGACCGTAATAGACGGCCGTAGGTAGTATACCCATATAAGCATGTTCAGAAGATTTTTTTCCCTAGTGTTTTTTAAAATATTATTTAATATATAGTTAAAAATAAGTCCTACTAAAATTGATTTTACAGAAAATTTTGGTTTCTCAAAGTTCTTTTTATTTGTATTTTGCATAATCAATACTAATCCGGTTTAAGCAATTAAGATTGTGAAAATTCTTTTTAAATATCGACCTCCCTTACTGTCTAGTGTCTAGTCTATAATTACCTAAGAGAGGTAGCTGGGTGCATGGGATTCTGTAAATCGTCTCTGAATCTGCTGATCAATGAACTTGACAAAGGATTCGTACTAAACAAATAATGTAAGTTTTAATGAAATATTAATTAAATTTTTATTGGTTCAAGAAACACGAAAATGCAACCGGAAATTCCCACCCTCAAAGGGACTGTTAGCTTAATAAGACCCTACGTGAAACTTGAACACGCTTTTAACGGTACCGTAATGAATCAGGCATCGTCATACTTTCAAGGAGGTTTACTGAGACATTTTTTGGCGCAAACGAAAACAAATTGCTTCAACCAAAATAGACATTCACACAATTGCAAAATTGACTAATATCAAACGAATTATACTGCACTTGGATTTGAAATAAGATAATTGACTATTTTTAAACGGATTTTACTGCACTTGGATTTGAAATAAGATAATTGACTATTATTAAACGGATTTTACTGCACTGGGATTTGAAGTAAGATAATTGACTATTATTAACCGGATTATACTGCACTTGGATTTGAAATAAGATAATTGACTATTATTTAACGGATTATACTGCACTTGGATTTGAAATAAGATAATTGACTATTATCAAACGGATTATACTGCATTTGGATTTGAAATAAGATAATTGACTAATATTAACGGATTATACTGCACTTGGATTCGAAATAAGATAATTGACTATTATTAAACGGATTTTACTGCACTTGGATTTGAAATAAGATAATTGACTATTATTAAACGGATTATACTGCACTTGGATTTGAAATAAGATAATTGACTATTTTTAAACGGATTATACTGCACTTGGAATTGAAATAAGATAATTGACTATTATTAAACGGATTATACTGCACTTGGGATTGAAATAAAATAATTGACTATTATTAAACGGATTATACTGCACTTGGAATTTATATAAGATAATTGACTCCTCCATATGAGGAGATACAAAAACAAAAAACAAGATAAAAAAATTATGACTAGATATTCTCCTTAAATGTCTCCAACATGTTGTTAGTGATAGAAGATTGAATACACGCGGAGTTTCTTTTTACTATCATAATCTCAAGTTGTATCAAACAAATATAAAGTAATGGCTTTTTTACAAGAAATTATTAATAAAAGTAAAAAATGTTTAGGAGCTAGGAATAGCTAGGAATGGATCCGGAATGTAGATTTATCTATTTTAGGATTATCAAAACGGAATATAGATCCGGGTCCATCATTTTGGATTTGGATTCGCATCCAAACTGATACCTGCAAAACTCTTGACACTGAATAATAATGTGTAATAATTTATCATTTTATTTTCTAAAAAAATCATTCCCTCCCCACCACCCAATCCCATTAAATTTGAATTGAGGTGTTATTAGCTGAATTAGGGGAAAAATAAATTTTTAGTAAACAAAATCATGACAGGGTTAGAAAACTTTCACTTAATTTTTCATTTACCCATTAGCTTAGGGGATCGGAAATCATTACCCAAGGGGTAAAAGTGGGGCAATGATTTTTCAAGAAAATATTATTGTTTTTCTATAAATACCTGTTCTGATAGTTTCTGTTGAAGTATCTCATCGTATTCCTGGCGGACCTTATCTACTCGTTCCTAGGCAAATTAAAATAATCAAATATTGAGAATTTTTAAAACCAAAAAACTGATATTTTTGACAACGATCAAAATTGAGTTTTATTATCTTCTAAAAATGACCAAGTTTTTGCCCCCCCCCCCTCATCCTTGAATAATTTTTTCTTTAATAGGGGAGGATTATTTCTTCAAAACAAAAACTTCAGGATTTTGTACTAATATTGCCCTTCAAGATACAATAATACAATAATAACACAATAAAAAAGCTAAGCTATAAGACTACATTCAAGCCACAGGACTTTGTTTAACCTTGAGATAAAACTTTTTAAGAGTTTAAAGGCCTCTTTACAGTCTCATCCTTTGTTGGTAACCCTGTAGCAATGATTGTAACCCCTCCACCTGGCCACCCGATACGGTTACTCTTACCTTACACATACGCTCAGCTATCAGAGTCATCTGTTTGAGAGTAAAGATTGGTTTCTCCTTCCCAGCTGGAGCAACTAGAGAACTATCTGGTCCAAGGGAGCTGCTGCTGCTGCTGCCGGGCAGCTCTGATTCCATCATAGGTTCGGGGGAGGAGGGGGCACTGCCGGGGGACGGAGGATCACGTGACCAGCCTTAATTAAAATAAAATAAAAAATAAAAACAGGTATATTTTATGTTTCGATGATTTTTAAATCTTGGATGAAAATTCCTGACGATTGAAAACGTAATTTTCGACATGAAAGCAACTCTTAATTTCAGCCATTTTTTTCTTAAAAATAAATTTTTTTTTGGCAAAATCCGAAAAATGATTTTAAGGGAATGTGAAAAAAAATCGGTACGAGAGGACATACTTTTTTTCGTTTATACCTATGAGCATCAAAAATGTTAATTCTTAAATTTCATTTTGCCAGGTATCTCACTTGCAGAAAAATAATTTTTTTTTTTTTTACAAAATAAATCAAAGTGTAAAAATATGAAGGAATAAAATTTCTCAAAAAACAGACAGAAGAAAAAATTCAACAACTTATTTTTATCCTAATTTCTTTTTATACCAATGCTTGTAGCATATTATATATATATGCTATTTAGGGATTGAAGTGCAGGGATGGGGAGGGGGGGGGGGTTGTAATTCTTAAAATTATAAACCCTGGTGTCTGAAGTTCCCTATTGTTCACACCGAAATACCGAATACTTTTTTTGGTGCAAGAGTTATCAAAATGTGGAATGATATTCAATACAAAATCAAAAGTTCTAGAAACCTTAACATTTTCAAAAACAAGCTCGAAGAAGTACTGAAAGGCCAATAAAATTAGAAAAGAGATGTTTTCAATTATCACACCCGTGAATCACACTAATTAAACATAATTAATTTACCGATTATCTGTCGTCTTCTCTTCATTCTTTTGATTTCATCTCTGAGATTGTTCGCGATCTGTTCTGGGGAGAGATGGGACTCCAGGAATGAAGATGGTTTGTGTGACTCCTCCTCTCTAAACAGAAAAAGAGACTGTGAGCATAACTTCAATGTCAAGATGGTAATGTCCGATTCAGTACGATAAACTTTGACCTTTTGTGGAGAAATCCTCATTGCTAGTAATCAGATTTAAAAATAAATATTTATCGTTGACATTTAACGAAAATATGTAGTTCGGCTAAAAATATCAGGATAATGAAAAAAACCTTTTAGCAAAAACAAAATTCAGGAGCTGTGTGGAGACAGCTCTAAGCTATCAAAGCTCTCCTGCTACAAAAGTTTCACATATATTTAATGTACTCAGTATTGTTTTGTTTAATAAATGTTATGATTTATTATTACTGCAGAAAAATATAAAATATGATTTCATGACGAATGTTCCTAATATTTTGTGGCCGAAGTATCCCCCCCCCCCACGTCAAAATCTAAATAACTGAATGCCCAATCACTGATGCAGAAGGACTGGTGTACTTTAGACTGAAAATAACTAGAATTTCAATCCAACATACAAGACAAAGAACAATATGATTGTATATAAGATTGCAGTATGGAGTAAGACGATATAACATAAAAATGAACTGTTAACCCTCTCCCCACACTTCCTTCCCGATATCAGGTTTCTTAGAATAACATTATATTATCTACCTTTAAACCCCCCAGGGACATATTATCTACCTTTAAACCTACGCGAGATATATTATCTACCTTTAAACCTACTCCATGGATATACTATCTAACTTTTACCTACCTACCCCCAGGGATATATTATCTACCTAACCCTACCCCAGGTATATATTATCTACATATGAACCTAGCTATTGGATATGTGATTTTTCTAAACCTACTCCAGGTATATATTATCTACCTTTAAATATTCCCCAGGAATGGATATATTATCTACCTAAGCCTACCCCAAGGATATGTAATGTACCTAAACATACCTCAGGGATAGATAATCTACCTAATAAACCTACCCCAAGAATAAATTATCTACCTTCAAAACTATAATTATTTAACTTTATATATTATTTAACTTTAAACCCACCCCAATGATATATTATCTTCCTTTCAACCTACCCCATGGATATATTATCTACCTTTAAAACTACCCCATGGATATATTATCTATCTTTAACCTACCTAATGGATGTGTTACTTACCTAAAACTACCCCAGGAATTAGTTGTCTACCTAAACCTAACCCAGGGATATATTATCTACATTTTAACCTACCTAATCGATATGTTATCTACCTTAAAGAATAAGAACATATTATCCACCCTAACTGCTTCAGGGTTATAATATCTACATTTGAACGTATACCAGACATGACGGATGAAGGATGAATATGAATGGTTAAACTAAGAGCCATGGTTAATGTTATGACTAGGGGCCGAGCAATGCGGCAACATGAGGGCCCTATCCTAGAGAAAAATTTGTGGACGGGGGGTCAATAATGTGAACTATGCTGTTTAAGCTTAAGGTTGAGTTGTGTTCAGACAATTTCTGGGTCGAGCACTGCAGATAGGACAGGCTGAAGGCCAATCGATGTGGCAGCGGGTCCAATAACAAATGAGATCTATTGATAGGAGGGGGTCCAAAAATTGTTTCTCAGGAAAATACCGGGAATTTACCTGGTTTTCTTCTCCGGTGTACAATGCATAGGAATGCATCTTCTCCTTTTGTTCGGTCTGTTCGGAGAATACAGAGGGTCAAAGTCTAAACTTCTCTTCAGAGTTACACACGCCATCTTGTAAATTTATATTCTACTGGAACAAGGGATCTATGAAATCTGAAAACATAATTATTTTCGAGTTAAGAACTGAAAAACGTGATTTTGGTTTAAATGCTAATAAATGGCTTCTACGAATGCTACTCACATTCACTTGAGTCACTGATCCTAAAATGATTAATTCTGATCATTAGTTCACTAATATTTTTATCTCGAAGCGCCTTGAAATTAGAAAAATCGTTTCAAAAATTCAAGTTTTCTGATTTAGAGTGGGACAGCTGGAAATTAACAAAGTGAGCCTCGCCCAGGCAGGCCAGCCAGAGCCAGCTGTCAAAGAACAGCTGTCCTAGAAGTCTACCTAGGAATAGCTTTCTGTACTGACAAGGAAAAAACAGCTGATAAGGCAGAAATAGTTCTAAAGACGAGCCGGTCCAAAAACAGCTGTTTGAAGCAGAGCCTGACAGAGACAGCTTGCGGACAAGCTGTCTGGACAGATGCAGCTGATCAATCTACTCAGCTAGCTATTTTAAGGGGGATTTTTTTTATAAAAACAATTTTTTATTTTTCAAAGTTAGCATGTCTTTTTCAAGGCAAATTAGTTTTAGTTAAAAAATTTAAACAAATCAAAAATTTTAAAAAGTATACTTTTGTACTTAGCTGCCACAGCTTACCCTCACGGACTATAAAATAAGAGTGCATACAGTAAAATATAAGAAATTAAAAGCATATTACTTATAAAAGCGCGTTAAATCAGCTTGTAATCGTTGAAAAGTGACTGCTTTAAACAAATTTTATTGTAGAGGTTTTATCATTTTTCTGTTTAATTTCCCGGGGGCCCTAATATTAGCAAATACGACATTAAATATATTCCACTTGTGGGACACGTTTTTGATGTTTTGTGAGTTGATATTTGATACGTGAAATATCTGCAGTTAACATATGTAAAGATGAAATGAAGAAAACAAGTTAGAATTTAATGTAAGATATTCTATATATGATAGTTGTATCGTAAATTACTGTGGTTTGAAATTTCATAATGCCCATAAATGTCGTCTTTAAGCTGTGTATACCGTAATTAGTGGTAATATTACTTCTGTCCTACAGCATTTCTGTCCTATAGTACTTTCTTCCTATGATACTTCGGACCTAGGCAATATGCTGCAGGTCAGATGTGTACATTCTATTTTGTTAATCCGACCATACGCAGGAACTGCAGATATTGTCAGTATAGTTGACAGCTTGCTCACAGAAAGATCGATGTTCTGGTTGCACACATTAATTTAAGTAGGTCAGATGCACACTTTTTGGAAATCGGATGCACAGATTTTGTAGGTCAGATGCACAACTTTAGTATAGTAGGATGCACAACTTTCGTATAGTTGGATTTACAAAAAGGACCAAGTGAATATATGTGGTTAGTTTAGGTTAAGACAATTTATGGGCCGAGCGCTGTGCAACCAACTTATACAGTAGGTTGGATACCCTTTAACTTCTTTAAGTGCTTCGAACCTGTCAAAGTTGTGCATTCAACCTACAAAATTTGCGCTTTCGACTTACAAAAGTTGTGCATCCGACCTACTTGTGCATTAAACCTACTAATGTTGTACATCCGCGACCTACAAATATTGTGCATCTGACCTACAGAGAAGTGCAACTAACTTAAGAAAGCTGTGCAACCGAACTACAATAGGTAGGATACACTAACTTTTCATTCATTTAAATCTAAATTCATACTACAGAGTGTTAAAGTGTAACTTAACTATTTATAAAAAATCTAGAATTTAGTGACATTGAAATTATAATAAAAAAAATCAATTTACTCCTAAACAATTGAAAATTTGAAAACTGTTTTTACCATGAAATAGTTGCATTCAATTTCTTACAATCCAATTCTCTTGAAAAATCATAAAATATTTTTAAATATTACCTTAAAAACGTATTTTTATGCAGTTGAGGTTTCGTGAATATACACTTGGTATGAAATTTACGAAAAAACATATTTTTAGTATTCGTATCAAACTTTTAAACTTAAAAAATACAATTTTTAAGTAAAGAATAACCAAAAAAAAATACTTAAAAATACGTAAAATGAAACCTATAAACTTAGAAAAAGTATTTGGTTTGAATTTTACGAAAATTTATACGTGTTTTTAAGTTTTCATCAAACTTTCAAACTCTGTAACGAAAACAATTATTTAAGTAAAGATAAAACCGAAAAGATATGAAAAATAAAAACTTAGAAAAATTTACTTGGTATGAAATTCACGAAAATATATGTATTTTTAGGTTTGCAAAACAAAAAAAAAACAATTTTTAAAGTAAAGAAAATACCGAAAAAAATACATAAAATTATGTAACATGAGAACTAAAAACTTGATAAATTACTTGGATACAAAATATTCGTAAGTATTCGTATAAATACTGTTTCAGTCGGCTAAATTCAGTGTATTAAACTTTACTATCGTAATTCGTAGGGGATGGTATATTAGATTTTATTGCAATAACATGTAAAATGTAGACCCTGGCCTCTGCAGTCTTGACAATAAGCAATGGACCCTGCCTCACACCGACTATTTTGCAGACTTAAGACTCTCTGTGGCCTTTATACTTCTTACGACTTTGGACAGGGGTCGAGTCCCAGTGATGATTGATGTTATCCTCCTGACACATGCATCCTCCTTCCTGGAGTAGAAGGCGTAGAATGGAGTTGATGCCCTCTCCCTCGGACTTTGTTATCAACGGAGTAAAGAGTAATCCTGGTTTAATATTTCCTTTTTAAACTGCTGGCTTAGCGGTCATCTATGCAATATCATCTTTGAAACACACCTTTATTTAACCTTTTGCTCATGATACTTTAAAGAAAAGCTTCAATCTCTGTTTAGGTAAAAGAAAGCCGTACAACTGTATACTTTTTATACCTCTAGGGTTTTTTAAACTATTTAACACTTTTGGAGAGTGGACATTTATGATCATTATAGATTTATGATGGAAAAAAAATTGATCAAAATAATTAATAGAATAAAAAAATGAAATTTTTAAAATCCTATATTTATAATTAAGGTAATAATATATTTATTTTATTTCATCAACACATAATAAGAAATTCTCTGGTTTTTAATACTTTCCGGTCACATCATACAAAAATAAATACAATAAAAATCTTTGATCAGGCAAAGACGAGTGAAGAGGTTGGAATGCACTCTATACCACGTGTATATTCGTAAATGTTTGCCGCATTTAGTTGGAGACACCTGAATCAAAAGATATTTGTTAGTCAGTCAGCACTCAGCATAAAGAAATCCATTCAGTTCATATAATTTTTAAATAATTGTTTAAATCATTGCACTTTATTCAGCCAAAAAAAATTAAATAAAAAAATCAGACATAAAAATAATCTTTATTTAAAGGTATTATTGTTAAATTTATACTCAGATTAACTTTATAAAATTTACTAACCAACTTTCCCGATGTTTTTGCCAAGTACATAAGATCTTATTGCTATTTGATCAGCAATTCCAACTTCTTTCCTTACAGGCTTAGCAGGTGCTGCAGGCTCTAGTAAACAAGAAGTTAATTTCCTTCAAGATAAAAGTTAAAATTGACTCAAAATCTCAGAAAATAATAATGAAATTATATTTTTCTCAATAAAATTAAAATTGTCTCCAGGACTTTATTATTTTTTAATTTAAGTAGTTAATGATGACTTGGAATTTTGGTTTGGTAAATTTTGTTTAAATGAATTTATGGTCAACCTTCTTTCTTGGAAGTTCTTGGTTTAGGAGCAGGGAGAGAATCAGAACTAAGAAACTCTTCGCCATTAAATCTGAAATTATTTGTTATATTATCATGATCAGACTTTTCTAGTATACTTTAACTGGCATAGTTATGTAAATGCTTTGATTTTCTATACAAAAATTACTAAAAAGATTCAGTTCAAACTTTTACAACTAGGGAAGGGCAATTTTTAAATGTTAAATTAAATGTTAATCCAGAACCTAATAAATCTGTTAGTTTAACAAACCTATGTAACTTAAAAAATCAATCTTTATGCCCAGAACTTATTGTTAATGAAAAGATAACTTTTAAATCCGTAATATTCTTCATAATATTTGAATTTACATCTTGGGAATGTTTTTCTGTTTTAATTGTGAGCTTTTTTCTAGTAAGTGATTTAACAAGTCATTCAATACAATTTGCCCATCCCTTAGTTAAACTATGATTATATAATGCTTCTAGTTTAGAGTCTAATCAAAACATTTACAATAATTCACAAAGACAAATTCTTCTAAGTGGTGTGTTCTAAGACTTATCCGCGATAAGGTCCCAGCATCTGATTGAAGAACCAATAATTGAATCCGTTTGATTTTATCCCCATCTCATGGTCTATATCCAGCAAGTGAGTTTTCCTAACCAAAACATATGCTTTGGAATCAATTGGCTTAATTTAGTATTTTTGAAATTGCACTTGAACTCAAATTGTGCCAAACCATCTACAGCTTATCATACTAACTGGTCAAGGATTTGCAGCCAAGTTTTAATTGCTATTAAATGGTACATTATGAAAACATATCAAAATCCAATTTTTGTGATTCTACTCCTATGGATGTTGCATTTACTATGATCATTTAGATTATACCAAAATTACAATTAATAGCATGTAATTCATAGTGTCAAATATTAAGTTAGATTTAAAAGACACCACAAGAGGTCAACCTTTCTGGACATTCTTTATAAATTCCTTTGAAAAACAACCATTACCCCTGGCCCTGCCACTAATGAAGAATGAGTTTACCTGGCAGCCCTTATTGGTTGGTAGGGAGTGGTTTCCAGCAGGTTGACCTGTCTTTGGAGGTCATAGTAGGCTGGGTCAGAGGTAGGAACAAAGGGACGGGTGGCTCTATAATTCAGATATTACAATTAAAAATAATTGAGGTTTTGTTTCAAGAACTGGCTTGTTGTCTGACTTTTTTTGGCATCTTGTACATAAAAACAGGCTTACAGGCAACAAACAAAAAGAATAATTGTAGTGATACTTTTTATTATTTGATGAGTTAGACGTAAAAACTTATTTATTTTGATTTTTTTCCAAAAAGATGCTGCAGGTTGGCATCCCTCACATTGGCGGTTTAATCAAAATTGAAGGGGATAGATACCTATTCTTATAATCCTTTACTAATCATTAATTTCAAGAATCAGACTTTAATCAATTTCAGATTATGGGACTTATGAAAATCCTGACTTAAGGTGTAATTAAACTGACCTTCGGGTCATATTGAGATCCTGCTCTATACAGGCAAGCTCGTCAGACATGCTGCACATCATCATATCCTCGGTCATCTGATGAGGCATTGCTGGAGGTTGGAGGACAGGGCCTAGTCAAGTGAAAAAAAATTAAAGAAATGTCCACAATAAATAAATGCAAGGGTTCCTACACTAAAAAATTAACTTGTAATCAATGGATAATGATGTTCAATACGGATTTCTGACCATTAGTTTACGGAAATATCTATCTATTCATTGAGTTATAAAACAGATTTACTTCGAATGGCATGAGCTCTTTACTTAATCCAATATCAATATAACATGGAACATAAAGTATATTCTGATATTTAATGAAAGTGATATGTTGGTGATCATAGAAAAGAAAATGTTTTGATAAAATCGCATAGAAAGAGGGGCTTTTTTGTCAAACAAATTCTTTTCAATGTTTTTACCTCTCCATTGCATTGGTTGGTGCATTGCTGGTTGGTGCATCTGCATTCCTTCCATTGCACAGCTTTGCTGGAACCTTCTGTTTCTCATCTTTATCTTTGATAACTCATCCTGGACAGTAAAATAGTTGTACAATACAACAGTACAATTGCTGTACAATACAACAATACAATGTTTGTACAATACAACAGTACAATAGCTGTACAATACAGCAGTGCAATGATTGTACAATACAACCTTCCAATAGTTATACAATACAACAGTACAATAGTTGTACACTACAATAGTACAATAGCTGTACAATACAACATTACAACGTTTGTACAATACAACCGTTCAATAGTTGTACAATACAACAGTACATTAGTTGTACAATATATCAGTGCAATGGTTGTACACAACCGTACGCTAGTTGTACAATTCAACAGTACAATAGTTGTAAAATACAAAAGCACAATAGTTACCCAATACAACAGTACAATAGTTATACAAGACAATAGTACTATAGTTGGACAATATAACATTACAACTGTTGGACAATACAACAGTACACCAGTTGTACACAATACAACAGTACAATAGTTGTACAATACAACAGTGCAATAGTTGTACAGTACAATAGTTGTACAGTAAAACAGTACAATATTTGTACAATACAACCGTACACTAGTTGTACAATACAACAGTACAACTGTTGGACAATACAGCAGTATAATAGTTGTACAAGACAACAGTACAATAGTTGTAAAATACAACAGTAAATAGTTTTACAATACAATAGTACAATAGTTTTACCATACGATAGTAAAAAAGTTGTGCTATGCAAAAGTATAAGAGTTGTACCATACAATAGTTCAAAATTTTTGTACAATAGAATAGCACAATATAATAATACAGCAGTTCTACAATACAACAGTACAATAGTTGTATAATACGATAGAAAAATAGTTGTACATTACAAGAGTGCATTAATTTGTTTATATAATTTGGTCAGTAGTCAGTTCAAAAGTTGTGCACTGTTATACAGGCAGTTTAAAAGAATTGTACACTCTACAGGTGTTGAAAAGTTGTACACTCTACAGGTGTTGAAAAGTTGTACACTCTACAGGTGTTGAAAAGTTGTACACTCTACAGGTGTTAATTTGTAAGTTTGGAAATGGTACAAGTTAAGGAGTTCTACCATTAAACAGATATAAATGTAGAATGTAGATAACATTCAATATATTTGATACTAACTCAAGTGCCCTACCTTACCCTTACATAATCGAATTTTAAAGAAGAAAAAAATTGATTTCTGATGAAAAAATAGTAGCCTATTTTACTCTTAGGGTAGCCAAGGGTTCTTTAATTATGTCAGCCAATTCAGTCCAGCCGTTTGGCCAGCTATAGAGAACATAAATATATATACTGGACAATTTAAAAAATAATTAATTCTCAACAAATATTTACAATTCGAAAGAAATATAGTCATTCATGAATATCTGGTGAGCATTGCGATATTATTTGGCATTGCATATATTTTGAAAATATATTTTGTTTTGTTTGCTGAAGTTAGAGGACTGTCAGCGTAATTTTAGTGACCCTTCATGTAAAGATGACAATGCCAGATATACAACGATACCCTTGAAGCCTTAATCTTTTGAAAATTGTGGAAGATATTGTCGTTTTTCTGACTCGATAAGTGTTAATTCAAATAATTTCTCCAACGCTTCTTCTAAACAAGTAATGCGCAAGTTACTTTCGCAAAGAACCAGCAAATGGAAATAAGCAGTTTAAGAAACAAAAACATTGATATCTAATTCATACTTGATTATGCAAAGTTTTCAAGGGTACAGTTATAAATGGGCCTGGCCATCTATGCATGGAGGGTCACTTGAAATTACGCTTACAGTCCCTTTAAGCCTAGAAAAATATATGAAAAGGACGGAGTAAAATAAACATTCTGCCTTATATTTATTTTCATGTCTCGAATGCACTTTAAATGCTATTCATTCATTTCTATTTATTAGCTCAGTCCTCAGTCTATTGTTCTGTATAATACGTTGAAGTGTACAAATACAGGGCTAGTTTTTCTACAATAATAACCAGAACACTCTGAAATAGAAAAACGACTTTTAGAATCAAGTTATAACTTTAACAGGCCGATGAGCAATAGATAGTGAGTTGGTCACAGCAGTTGTGCAGTGTAAACAGACTCATTTCACTAAATTAGCGATTTAATAAGTAATTAGTAAAACTATTTTCTTTGTATTAACATTAAATACACGTAAGTAATGCTATATTGTTGTCTTCCTTTTCCATTGTTTTCAGGTTATCACTGTATGTACATTTTAGTGAATTTTTTTTCTCACTTTTTAATTAATTATAGTACACAGGCACATCATTAATCCTACAGGAAGGGATACTCTTAACTGTATTAAAGTAAATTTTAGAAATATCAACATTAAACTTGAACTATTATACATGAACATATATACTTGAAAATATAATTGAACTTTTCTATGAACAATAAACATATACTCGAACAGCTTTTACTACCTGAACTACCTGATCTACTAGAACTATCAGTACTTGAACAACTCGAACAACTTGAACTACCTGATCGACTTAAACTATCAGTACTTGAACAACTTTAACTATTTAAACTACTTGAACTACCTAACCTACTTGATTGACTTGAACTACTTGAACTACTTAAACTGCTTGAACTACCTAACCTTCTTGATTTACTTGACCTACTTGAACTACTTAAACTGAATGAAATACCTGACCTACTTGATTTACTTGACCTGCTTGAATTACTTAAACTACCAGTACCTGGTATACTTCAACGCTTAGTACTTGAACTACCTAAACTAACGAAACTACTTAAACTATCTGATCTACTTAAACAACTTAAAACTAACATTACCTGAACTACTTAAACTACCAGTACCTGAAATACTTGAACTACCGGACCTACTTAATTTAACTGAACTACCTAAAATACCTTAACTACCTAGTCTACCTAAACTTCTTGAACTACCTGTGGGTATGCAGCAGCATACGGGTTGTTGACCTCAGGTAGGTATTGTTGATGCTGACCAGCATCATAGAACTGCTGCTGGTCAGGGAGACGGGATACAAACCTAAACAAACCATGAAGACATTCCAAATTGATGTAGATATAATATCAGCAACAGCTCTTTTAAACAGATGGCAAGTTTTTCTATTAAGAAAGTCTTTGGTGTAAACCATTTGTTGATCTAAGATTGCTCATTGTCAAGCATTTTTTGTCAAGGACTATGGAACAGTGTTGAGAGGAAACCTTGCCACCACAGATGTGATCCTGCTGGCTTTATTTGTGTATCATGTATTGTTCAATCTTTGTATGAGAATCATATCTGAGATGTTTACCATTTCAGATATTATACAATGAGCTTGAACTCCATTGATTATATAAATTGCCAATAGAACCATCAGGAAAGCATCTTTATCATTTTATCATTTATTTATATTTTGTTCTTTGTTGATATTCAGATTGATCTGAAATAAGTATTCTATATTGACATTGATAGATGCTTGTACCAGATTTTCAATCTGTACAAGACCTGCCTCAGCGGGAACAAGATCTTATGTGCTATCTGTTGCAGATTAAATACATGAGGTCTCAGATTAGAACCGGACGTTCTATAAGTGTGGAGAATAGGGGCGTGGCCAATATGCCTCGATCAGGCGAATCCTAAGGTTCTTAGATCAACACCATGGCACACCACTCTAAAAGTTGCAAGATCTGAGCCGGTACAATATATATTCTATGCATATATAGTCGTACTGTCCTGTCTGGACTACACAGTGTAGGAATTATGTATTTTCAGATTTAATTTTTATATTAATTAGAGTTTTTGTCGTTCGGTCCCTTTAGCGCCTACAAGGACTGGGTGAAGGGTCTCTTTAATACTTACCAAGGGTCCTCCATAGGGCTGGGTGTAGGGTTCGGGCGGAACTTCTGCATATCTGCATCAGCAAAAGATCCTTCAAAATTTGAATCATGGGCATTTTGTTTAAGTTTCTCAATTTTATTTATTGAAAAATTTAGTTTTTGATTTTATTGAATATTGTACAGGGCAAAACTGATTTAAAGTTTTTTAAGAATTAGAAGAAAATAAATAGAATTTTTAAATGCGTTAGATTTAAAATTTTTGACTATGATTCCTTCGAATGTGGTTGGGTGCTGGATAAGCTTCCTCTTCCATTCTCCTCCCTACAAGCAGGACAAACATGATAATATGAAAAATAAACATTAAAAAAATGTTTAAAAGTCCAAGCCTTATGTGAAAGGAACTAATATCTAAATATGTGGGAACAGGTTTTGGGAAATTGTTTGTATGAACCTGAAGAGCTTGGTGCTTCATGTCCCTCTCAGGACGCATTGCCTCCAGAGCATTGTCACACTTGAGCCCTGGTGTGTAACGAAGAGGACGGACAGGACGGGAGGATTCAAACCCATGAGGTTCAGAGTCCTGGAGACCAAGATCCTAGTATAAAAGATAGTATAAAAATGGTGAAAATAAGAAAAATCGTATAATACCGTACACCGGGAATTGTACTGTATCACCATACTCGGAAAAGAACGGAACAGAACGAACAATTTAAAAAAATAGGAACGCACAAGATATTGCTATACTCTATCTAGAAATGCCATGGTTTAAACTAACTACTCGGTCCTTAGCTCTGCGATCTGACCTATTTGCAATCTACTCGGTCCTAGCTCTGCAATCTGACCTATTTGACCTACTCGGTCCATCTCTGCAATCTGACCTATTTGACCTACTCGGTCCTTAGCTCTGCAATCTGACCTATTTGACCTGCTCGGTCCTTAGTTCTGCAATTTGACCTATTTGACCTATCTAACATATATTTTTGCGTTTTCTCTTTTCACTTTTTAGTCGGCATATGAGTTTTATATGAAAAGTCAACTCCAAACTTAAATTAAAATATTAGAAACCGAACTCATCTCGCCCTGGTTAGTCCAGGGTGAAGTACAGTAGACAGCGTTTACAACAATACAATAAAGTTTACGAATAAACAAAGAACCTGTTAATCGACAACTTTTCTTTGAAAAAAAGATTGTCGTCTTCATAGTATTTATCTGTTGATATGACGACTACTGTATCTATACCTTGTTCCTTCTGATTCCTTGGATAACTTCACCGCCGCCCAACTGAACGTTAGTCATCCGACGGTTGTTAACCGTTACATGGGGCATTTCCTAAAAGTGAAAGTATTGTTAAAATCATGCATTTAAAGGGATGGTTTTATACCTTTATGAAAATACTCCCTCGATCAACTTCTAAAATGCGTAGGTTTCAGCCTATATCCACTTTTTCCTTTACAGTCCCTTTAAGATCGATGTTCTAATCAAATTAAGTTCATGACCATTGCAAATTGTCAAATATAAAAATGACGGCGTTTTAAAATCAGAATTTGCATTGAAAAACAAGATTTTTAGTCCTGATAAGTTAGGCGACGAGAATCCTCAAGACTTGGCCTGGAAATTGGCTTCAAGCCAGAAGAATACCTCATTCACTAGGCAATATGCCTTTTTAGAATTCAGCCTAATAGGATATTCATGAGATGGGGGGACGGCCAACGGGAGGGTGAGGGGGGAGATGTGATTGTCATAAAGTCAATCAAAGATAGATAAAGAGTCAGGGTTACCCACAATTAGGAGTGTTTGTATAAAATGCCTTCTTTTTGAGCGAAAATTTTATGTTTTTTTAAAAAGAAAATGGTATTGAAGGTTTTAAAAGCTAGTTTTTGTACATTTTCTTTACACTTTTCAGATTATTAAATGCCTTTTTTTCGAAATTAGAAAATGTAAATACTTTCAAACTAGAGGTTTTTGCAGTAGTGAGANGAGTACAACACTTAGATGCAGATTCATCCACAGAGTACAACACTTAGATGCAGATTCATCCACAGAGTACAACACTTAGATGCAGATTCATCCACAGAGTACAACACTTAGATGCAGATTCATCCACAGAGTACAACACTTAGATGCAGATTCATCCACAGAGTACAACACTTAGATGCAGATTCATCCACAGAGTACAACACTTAGATGCAGATTCATCCACAGAGTACAACACTTAGATGCAGATTCATCCACAGAGTACAACACTTAGATGCAGATTCATCCACAGAGTACAACACTTAGATGCAGATTCATCCACAGAGTACAACACTTAGATGCAGATTCATCCACAGAGTACAACACTTAGATGCAGATTCATCCACAGAGTACAACACTTAGATGCAGATTCATCCACAGAGTACAACACTTAGATGCAGATTCATCCACAGAGTACAACACTTAGATGCAGATTCATCCACAGAGTACAACACTTAGATGCAGATTCATCCACAGAGTACAACACTTAGATGCAGATTCATCCACAGAGTACAACACTTAGATGCAGATTCATCCACAGAGTACAACACTTAGATGCAGATTCATCCACAGAGTACAACACTTAGATGCAGATTCATCCACAGAGTACAACACTTAGATGCAGATTCATCCACAGAGTACAACACTTAGATGCAGATTCATCCACAGAGTACAACACTTAGATGCAGATTCATCCACAGAGTACAACACTTAGATGCAGATTCATCCACAGAGTACAACACTTAGATGCAGATTCATCCACAGAGTACAACACTTAGATGCAGATTCATCCACAGAGTACAACACTTAGATGCAGATTCATCCACAGAGTACAACACTTAGATGCAGATTCATCCACAGAGTACAACACTTAGATGCAGATTCATCCACAGAGTACAACACTTAGATGCAGATTCATCCACAGAGTACAACACTTAGATGCAGATTCATCCACAGAGTACAACACTTAGATGCAGATTCATCCACAGAGTACAACACTTAGATGACGACCAAAAACTCATTAAATAAAACCACTTGAAGGTTGACTTAGCTCTTTATCTTGAATAATAACCAAAGATAAAGATAGATTTCGCATAAGACGACATTTTTCATCTTGAAAGATATAAATGTAAAGAAATGTTTTAAAGATATTCCTATTATATAGATTTATAGGTCGGTTGTGAACATTGGCTGTTCTTATGTCATTGCGTACTTGTGGTGTACATGAGTTCTGTAGAGAGAAATTTAAGTTAGTTTAGTCCCTCTCATGTCCTTCTTCAGTTCTCGTCAATATAATATATTGCTCAGTGAAATTTTGTTTTTCAAATAGTTCCATTCCCGGAGTTATTTTACACTCTATTATGAAATCCATTAAAACACCAAACCACCCCGCTTATTATTTAAGTACACTTTGACCCCTAGAAGTATGAGTTCGCGGATTCTTGGTGATTTTGCGTACATGAGCTATCTATGTTTATTTATTTATCTATGATAATAACCGTAACCTAACATCCTGAGTGAAAATAGAAAAAAAACACGTTTAAAGTTGCAGCCGTACTGATGGGCAACATTAGTTTTTTGAACTTTTTTAAGGTTTTCAGACTTACAAAAGGCACAACAAAAATTTGTAAAGGTTTCAACATTTTAAAACTGTGTTCTGCAAAAGTTTGCTTTAATGAAACAATGCAAAATATCACAAGAGAAAATATTAGGTAAAAAACGATCGATTTAATACGATCGTTTTTCGTTTGATTTTTGGGGGGAACGGTAAGAATATAAAATTTAAACTTTTATTTTCAAACTCTGGTATTGGCGGTAGTGAAAGAGGTCTCAGATTAGAACCGGACGTTCTATAAGTGTGGAGAANCCCCTACACTCTAGAACTAAACCTCACTTACAAGATTTGATTTACGTTGGGGTTCCTCTCCATAGTAGCTCTCCATCATGTTCCCTGCCACCCTAGAATTGTAATTTTTTAAACCATGATTTTTTTTCAAATTTATGATCTTTGCCACTTATTTGATGATTCACGGATGTTATGTTGCGAGTAAAAAAAGTATGTCTTAAATAAAGTGTTTCTAGTAATGTTTCTTCAAATCAACCTGGTTTTCGGTGATCTGTACATGTGCCATATTTTGAAGTTGTACTTTTAACTCTTTCCTTGTACATATTTCTTTAGTTATGGCATCTAAATTGTCTTCATTCAATTCTAATGATTTTTTAATATCTGATATATGTGCCAAAATTTTGCTTTGTACAGCGTACAATGTAAAATATACAGTTATTCCTGTACATCATACTACGTGGTACTACATGTACAGTGTATATGTTGACCCCTGTACTCCTATTCTACAGTACTACCTGTACATGTTGACCCCTGTACTCCAATTCTACAGTACTACCTGTACATGTGGACCCCTGTACACCTGTTCTACAGTACTACCTGTACATGTTGACCCCTCGGCAGCTGACAACGGAGTGGGGAAATCTATCCTGCTTTCCCCAACACAGCATCCAGGGACCAGGACAAACTATACAGGGGCATACAGAAACATTAACTATAAAGAGGGGGGGGGGGTAAAAGGAACCATCCAGAGAGACCAAAAAACTGGGAAACAGACAAAGGACTGTTAACTGGTAAACTCAAATTATGATTATTATATTCCAATTGACTTGAAATCAAGCATCACTTATAGTACACACAGACCCACATTTTACCCTGTAGGTATAAAATGCCCCAGTTTTATAAAATAAAAGTATATAGTGTCAAGTTCTAAGGTAGTGAGATTCATGAAAGAAATAAAAAAGTGAGATTTGAAAATCCAAAATGAGAATAAAAAATTTTAACTTTTATTTTCAAACTGTGGTATTGGCGGTAGTAAGATTTCAAAATCCAGACGTTCTATAAGTGTGGAGAATAGGGGCGTGGCCAATATGCCTCNCTGATTTCGAAAAAAAGGCATTTAATAATCTGAAAAGTGTAAAGAAAATGTACAAAAACTAGCTTTTAAAACCTTCAATACCATTTTCTTTTTAAAAAAACATAAAATTTTCGCTCAAAAAGAAGGCATTTTATACAAACACCATTTTACCTAACAAGTTAATTTCAAACTTTAATTTGTAAAATTATTTGTTCTATAACAATATCAAATACTCATAAGAAAGCTTAAGCTTGAGCATATTTGTCCACTGCGTTGTATGGATATTACTGTATGATACGTTTTTATTTTTGTTACCAACGGAAAACAATATTTCTAAACAATAAAAAACATCAAAATTTACGATTCATGAAGTGACTGTCGTTGGGATTTGAAGTACACCCTCAGGGTCATAAAGTACACCATCAGGGTCATAAAGTACACCCTCAGAGTCATAAAGTACACCCTCAGGGTCATAAAGTACACCCTCAGGGTCATTCCCGATTCAAAACGGTTCCATTTAAACTTTCATCTCTTCGATGTGGAAGACTTCGGTCGTTTTCTAGCTTGACAAGTGCTTTATTCAGACAATTTTCTAGCTTGACAAGTGCTTAATTCAGACAATTTTCTAGCTTGACAAGTGCTTAATTCAGACAATTTTCTAGCTTGACAAGTGCTTAATTCAGACAATTTTCTAGCTTGACAAGTGCTTAATTCAGACAATTTTCTAGCTTGACAAGTGCTTAATTCAGACAATTTTCTATTACTATTTCAGAAGCAGATACACGCTTCATAGAGAAACCACATTTGAAAATAATAAATTTTTACGGATAAGATTATGGATATCCCATGCTGGAAAATAGAGCTTCCCTCCCCTTTCATTACCTTCCCCCCCCCTCTCATGTACTTCTGGCTAAATCCATCTATTACAAATGTAGAGCTTTCTCCAACAGGAAGCCAGGCTGCCCAGCTGACCTACACACCAAGAATTAGCTAAGGAGCCGTGGATAATTTATATATTATCTATCTATCTATCTATCAATCTATCTATATATCTATCTATCTATCTATCTTTCTATTTATCTATCTATCTATTTAACTATCTATCTATATTTGTCTATTTATTTATATATACATTTATCTATCTATCCATCTATCTGTCTATCTATATATCTGTCTATCTATTTTCTATCTATGGTAAACTATATATTTAAGTTTGTTTAGTTCTAAACATTACACTCAAAGTAAATACAAAATGCTCAGGAAATAATGAAATAAAATATCTCTCTCGGGTTTTCTAAAATCCCAGAACTTGATTCAAACTTAGGAAAGTACAAATTATTGATCAGTGATCACACAGATAGAACAAATGAATAATCGTTGTGTTTAAAACACCAGACCGCACTTTGAGATGGAGAGAGGAAATGAAGGTTTGCCACTAACTCTTATTTTGAAATCCCTATATCTTTGCAACCCGATATCATATAACTTTTCAATATTTACTATTTCAAACTATGAATTTTCTTAGATCAAAAAGTTTAAGTTTGAAATATTCAAGGTTCACACCCTCAGATTGGAAAGATAAATGGGATTTGAATATTTTGGTTTGTGGTAAAACCTCAGTTCCTTTAAGAGAGTATCGTTGAACAAAACTCCTTAAGACTTTTTTAAGGTCTTTCTATATATTTGCGTAGATTTTAATTTCTATATAAATATATTTGCGTAGATTTTAGTTTCAAAAATTAGAAAACTAGGTAAAAATGTAAATAAACAATTTAAAATACTTTTTTAAAACAAAAATATAGATAACTGCAAAACTGTCTGACGCCATTTATTAAAACTATAGGTTTCATCACGATACATCACGATACATAACGATACATAACGATTCTTACGTTAGGGGGCCTGGGTGCATGTGGACCCCCTACGCGTGCCCCCTCCCCATGATGTGGTGAAAAAATGAAAAATTTGACATTGAAAGGTAAGTTTTTCATGAACTTCTCCTTCTGGTTAGTTTGCAGTGATAAACTCAATTTATAGAGTGGCATGTCAGAACGCTTTAAACTTTTCTACGGATAAAAACTCTATGCACGGGCAGCCATAGTACATTTGAATTTCCGAGCAGGGTTAACCTTTTCGGTCCCTGTTTGTACTGTATCGCCCGGACATTGGGTAAATAAAGCGGACACTCAATAGGACTAGCCGGTGCAACAAGGTTTGAAGCGATCAGACTTTAGGTTGAATTTACTTTTACTAAAGGGTCAGAGGTGCGTGTATGTGAAATTTCAAGGGTATCAGTTTTAATCAGACATAATATGCACTCTATGAAGGGCATGGGTCGCTTAAAAAGTCATCATCTTATAGTTCATTTAAATCTCCCCCAAAAATCCTTAGAATATCCATGAATACCCTTTCCCATCATACTCTTAAATAGAAAATGTACATCACTCCCTTTAATCTTGTTGTTATCTGTTTTGAAACCAGTATAAATAAAATATTTTTTATTGATAAAATCAAGACAATAACTTACATTTCAAAAGTATTTAGATTTTTCAAGCATAGTACACAGTATGCACACACATATTAAATAAAAATACAAATATAACCAATCTATTATTTAATTAACTTTTATCCTCATATATAAATATACATATCTGTTGATAATTTTTTTACAGTTTTATGTTTTTGGAGCCATGTACTCCTTTAAGGGTTCACATTCGCTTCGAATTGGGGCATCTTGACTTTTTCTTCATTGGTGTTGTCTCTGCAATATATTTTTTTTGCATTTTCTTGAAAATATGTAAATGTTCATTTATGTTTAATTAAAAACTGTTAAATGTGTATGTAAAGGAGAGGGAAAAATCTGCGAAATTTTTGTGTTAAACTCATATATTTATAGTACGTGTTTACTATAAATCAATATCTATATATAAATTTGGCTTGTCTGTCTGTTTGTCTGTCTGTCTGTCTGTATCCAATAAACGTCANTTAAAAAAAATAGATATCCGAATGCAGGTAGATAGATAGATACAAATGTAGGTAGACAGCTTCTTCTTTATTATAGATTAATGAATTATATATTCTGCAAAGTACACGAAATGTCGGTTCTATATCGTTTTACTTCAGATTTGACATGAATATTTTATTCAAAAATCAATACATTCAATTTAGGGCACTTTGCGCCTTTAATCTTTGCTTATCTCTCTTTTAAATTTTAGTGTGTGTTTATTATCTCAAAGGTTATTAAAAAAAATTATTTACCCCGATTTTCGTATTTTTTGTAACTTTTTTAAAATGAACTGATTGCATTTCTAGCGCATCAACTTAGCGGTGTAAACCTTTTATATTTCAATATTTAACTGTTTTATCAGCATGTTGGATAGTACAGGGTGTCTCACTTCAAGCATGTTGGATAGTACAGGGTGTCCCACTTCAAGCATGTTGGATAGTACAGGGTGTCCCACTTCAAGCATGTTGGATAGTACAGGGTGTCCCACTTCAAGCATGTTGGATAGTACAGTGTGTCCCACTTCATTTCGGATCGTTTACGGCACTAAATTGTGCTTTTCGGGACTAATCAGAAAATTTAAAAAGAAGGAATCATTTGAAAAAATTGTCTAATTAAAAAATTTGCATGCAGAAAACACTAGATTTTTTGAGTATTATATGCTTATATTTAAGCGTTAAATCTTGGAAATAATCCATTATAATATGGGACGCTCTGTCTAGCTAGAATATCAACAGTCAACAACATTAGGAAATTAAATTACGAAAAAGTATAAATATGAGCCACGGATACTCATAATTCCTATGCTTGATATCGATATCTAAAGTGGGCACTATTGAATTTTACGTAGAATATGTCTGAATATCTTGATTTTATCTGCAATTTCTCTGTTCATCATTGGTTAACAAAAAAACATCTCTGGCGCTTGACTGACTGTTTAGGAATTTGTTATTGAAAATTTCTGGAATATTGAATGAAGATTAAATTAATCTGTATAGATTAATAATTGATTGAGATCAAGCATTGATCTCGATATCCACACTAGACGAGTTCCCATCTTGCAGTTCCTTTTGATGGCTTTGTAATCTTGATTTTAACATAACCTAAACATGGACGGTTTCTAGACCGTTTCTACTTTACAATATATTTGCAAAATTATCTTAATTATAATCTAATAGCTTTTCTCCGCTAATAGCATTTCTCATTGGGTATAAACGTTATATCTGATATATGTTGCAGAGAATTAAAATTAACAATTCCTAGTAATTTTTCTATATTTAGGAAGTTGCAAGTTTAATATTTGCCATGCTGCCATGGATTTCTGTGAACTCGAAAAATATAATCTTATTAAGGTTTGATTTGAATTTTCGTAGAAATTGGTTGAAAAAATCAGTTCTAAAATTTTCATTGAGATAGAAATATAAATCTTCATTTAATGAAATCCATAAAGCTGTGGAATGGAAAGACGACATTAAATCAAGCTTTTGAGTATTTGATGTTGTGTTTCAGCAATTAGTTTAGCCATGCAATTTACACTTATTTAGTGAAATGTGTCTGTTAACGCTGCACAATCGCCGTGTTTCATGTTTATTGGACTATTCAAAAT